CCTCTCCTCTTTCAGTCCCAACCCATTTGCCATTCTCCATCCACTAACCAACCATCCATCCATCCTCACAACCCCACATATTCGCTTTCGGTCTCCTCGACTTGCTGGTTGACTTCCAACGACACACCAAACGATCGTTGTCTACTGTACCTTTGGCGGACCGCGCCGCTCTTGAAGTGAAGGAGAGCCACATCTTGCTGACATCTCGTCATTGGCACTCACCCGATTCGTCAGATTGCCGACTCTTTCCCCTGCCCATTGCACTCATCAGATTTCTGTAGCAAGGGGGCTTGAGGTCTAGGTGTACCCAAAGTCGTGAGGGTTCTCTCATCTGGCAGCCAAAAGGCACTTCGCTCGCCTGTCTGGGGTCCAGCCTGCCCACTCTTCATCGGACGCGAGGTTGGGGAAGTTACGGCAGCTGTTGCCCCTTTGCGCAAATCTAAGATAACAGCCAACACCGAGAAGGAAGAGTGAAAGGGCTGCTTATCCCGCTTGCTGCAAGATGCCGCGCCTAGGGTACAAGAAGTCTCGCGGTGGCTGTGCAAGGTGTAAACAGCGTCGTGTAAAAGTACTTACAACCCTTCATCCACACACATACACATGCACAATCATCACCTCTCTGCCATTCACAAACCATCTCGTATTCCGAACGCGGCCCGGCTGACACTTCTTAACCCAGTGCGATGAGAACAAGCCGTGTGGCGCCTGTATCAGGCACAACACCCAGTGCAGTCTCCTCGAGGGCTCAGTGGACGGTTCAGGGTCCGGTGACAACATGAGCTGGGAGCCGACATCCAATTCTAACGCGGCGGAACTCTCAAGAGTGCCGAGTTTTCAACGGAGAAGCTCGTCGCGTAAGGGATCCAGTGGCAGCCGCAAGATGCAAACGCCATCAATCAGCCCGATAGACCACTCGTTGACGCCGCCGAGTCTGCTCGAGGCCACCCTTAACCTACCGGCAGACTTCGTCAGCGACCGGGGCTCATCTATCGGAAATAGGCGGTCCTCTATCGCCGCCTCGAGCCCCGACCCTTTTCCCTACTTTGTCAAGTTTTCAACCGAACCCGTGGAACCGGTTCATTTGAGCAAGTGGATCACAGATCTTGAGCTGATGCACCAGTACTCCACGGCCACCAGTCTCACGATGCCCAGGTCGTCGGACGTGAGCAGTATCTGGCAGTTTGAGGTACCGAAGCTCGGTCTGACGTACATGTTCCTGATGCACGAGATCCTCGCCATCGGTGCTTTACATCTCGGGTATCTCCACCCGGAGCAGCGCGAATCTTACGCCTTGCATGCCTCACAACATCAGAGTGATGCGATAGCTGGCATGCGAGAGTCACTCATGAATATCACGACTGAAAACTGTCACGCTCTGTTCGCGGCGTCTTCATTACTGCTGCTCAACGCATACTCTACATTCCCGTATCAAAGAGGAGCGCCCCACTCACAAGAGGCGCCAACTGTCGACGATGTTCTCGACGTCTTCCTACTTGTGAGAGGAATGAGCCACATTTTATCATCATTCCAACCATCTATCCAGGCAGGGCCTTTTAGGCACTTCTTCACAGAGGTGGTAACCCCCGCGACTACACCATTGCTGGAGGCAGTCACACAGCATCTCGAGAATCTTCAAATAAGTTTAAAGACATCCAGCGCCGACGAACCAACCAAAGCCATCGTCAGCAAGGAGATCGACGTGTTTCTCGGGTGGATCATGCACGCCGTTGAGACAACGGCGTTTCCGGAGCTGCGGGTGGCCTTGACATGGCCCATCAACCTCACCGAGGAGTATCTACAGCTACTCCGGAACCGCGATCCTGCGGCGCTGACTCTGTTGGCTTACTACTCGGTCGTAGTCCGCTCGACGGAAGCTACCACGTGGTTTATGCAGGGATGGGGCATCAACTCGGCGCGGGCGATAGTATCAGACTTAGATCCAGAGTGGAAAGAGTTGGTCAAATGGCCATTGGCTTTCATAAGCGACAGAAGTATACAACTTTAGTTATCATCTAAACAAATCAAAGAACAAAACATTTAGACTACCCCATTCCGCTCATCCCTTGAACTGCCTTGCTAGAGATGCCAATACTCTTCGGAATTCAGAGCAGACACTCATGGCTAGTACGATGAGAGCCACGACATCCCGCGTGCGACAAATCCACGCCGAAGCTTCTTGGGGTTGCTGGGACACAAACGTCAACTGTCAGCTTTTTCGATGCCGTCTGCCCGGATAACCGTCCATGTACGTCTGTTAGGCTTGAAAGTCTAACGAGCCGATCAACAATAATCTAAGGATTTCGGCCGAGCGGCGGCAGAGCGCAATGCGGGCTTCAACGGCCCGGAGATTTCTTGGCGACTACACTTCGTTCGACCTACCTACTTAGGATAGAGGCCATTAGCATTGAAGGTAAGGCATATTCAACTACAGAAGCTACTAGGGACACAAATGAGCTGTAGAGTCAGAGTGTGAGCGATCTGAAACAATCAAAACAGGAACAGACGGGTAGTACCTCAAACCCCGAAACCGAAACCGAGGTGGGTGCACTGGTCTGGTGCTAGGTGTGCTAGTGGGGTTGTTGCGATCGAAGCTTAAGTGATCCGACCTAGCTACGCTCCGCTCCGGCTTTATGAACATTACCTAGCGTAAAGTGGGAATGGTAAGGCTGATTATGACTCTGCCGCCAGTTTAAACACTGCTTGACGCGCTGCTTAAGCCGTTACTACCGTCCGTCATAGCCTTTGTCCACGGAGAATTCGTCGGTAGCTAGGGGTCCCCTATGACATTGGTTCCTAGCTTTCCTTCAGCAGAAGGCCACATGATGGCCATGACGTTGAAAGGGATAAAAGCTTAAAGACGCTTATTGACGCCGGGGCGGCAATTACCGGATGAAGAAGAAGTCTAGACGCCCAGCGCGTGGAGTTGCGATTATGGAAGGCGAATTGCATCTTCCTTGACTGGCCAAATTGACCATTCTTAGCTCCCTCGACCCTGCGATCATGCCGACAGATTCTCACGATGGCAAACGTGCCAAGTCGTCTTCGGAATTTCCGTGCCTATCTATGTTTTGGCTTGGGCAGGAGAGTATCGCGAGACGATTACGCGAAGCGCGCTGCGCGCCCATGGTCCCGATGAGCTGTTTGTTTCCCCTTCCCGTGGCCCATTCCAGTATCATCTTCGGTCTAACCTAGATCTTGGGATTTTAGATTCGGTCTCTCGAGGGATCTTATTGCCACTGCTAACATGTCGATTTCACCTTTTGGTATAGGCACAGACGATGAGACGAATGCTGAACCTTGTATTACGATTCACGAGACCTCTAGACGAACAGACGATGACGGACGCACATTTCATGATACAGACATCATAACGAAGGCCCAATAAACGCGAGTATGTTTTGGACTTCGATTATTGGAAGCTCTCAATATAGTACGAGATCAGTTTTCGATCGCAAATTGTTCAACTATGTACGAGAACTGTTGATTCGATCAAGCCCAGGTGTCAAAGAAGCGGACAGCCTGGAAGAAAGCTTCCTCTTTGCCAAACTTCTGCCTAGGGTCCGAAATGTTGGCGCGAACACCGAATCCGTGCGAGGTACCGCCATACACAGCAAGAGAGAAGGGCTGGCCAGTCTCACCGAGCAGGGCCTCGACCTCGGCACGACGAGCGGGTGTCATAAGGTTGTCAGTTTCTGCAGCGATACTGTCAATGATAAAGAATGATACAGGCAGGCCATTGGCATGCAGGGGTGGCAGGGTGAAAACGTACCGGCGGCAGCGACACTCGCGGGACCGGTGATGGCCGTGATCTCCTCGTCAGTGAGTAGACTCGGGTGCGCGGCAAAACCGACGTCGGCGCCCTTGCCCTCAGCGAGGACACGGAACGTGTAGCGGCCTCCGAAGCAGTATCCCGTGACGGCCACCTTGCTCACGCCGAGCTCCTCGCGCAGGTACTTGATGGAGTTGGCGATAATCGGGTCAGTGACATTGGGCCCGTGCTGCGCAAGGAATGCCGTCGTATTGAAGCCGGGGATGTTGATGTCGTTCGGGGCCGGGCTGCCGTTGAACAGGTCCGGCGCGACGGAGATGTAACCGGCGCGAGCGAAGCTGTCGGAAAGCCTATTCATTCACGTTAGCAGTTGGTACCTTGGCATTGCCATGCAGAGACGCATGGTTGAAGACGGGCAAACTCACAGCTTGTTTTGCGCGAGCTGAATGCCGAAAACGTCGGTCAGGTACAGAACTCCAACAGTCCTGTTACCACGCGTGCTCGGCTTGGTGACATATTGGGTCACTGCATGTGGATCGCGTCAGTTTGTGTGCGCCTGAAAGACATCTCGATAAGAATAGACTCACGCCCATTGTATCTGACCTCCTCGCCAATTGGGGTACCAGTATGGGCAATGGCGGAAACGTCGGCAACGGGGCACTTCTTAGCAGCATTGGTAAGAGATGCGAAGCCCAGAAGGGCTGCGACGATAGTCTTGCTGAGCATCTTGAAGGTTTTGACCTGTAGGTTTCTCGATCACAGAACACAATGGACGGATACCGGATGGAAACAATCATAGAATGGGATGGGATAGCCCAACATCTTTTTAAGATTTAAGCTTCTCCTCGTTCTACGCGTCTACTAATGATTACAAATAAGCTAGATCGGAACCTATTTCTTGGATGGCCACTCAGACGGAGATACGGTGGTGGTATCTTGGAGATATCCATTGCCAAGACGGTAGGCATGGCGCAAGACCCTGGAAGACGTCATCCAATCCTCTACCCGTGTGCTCCGCGTCTCCGCAAACACACCGTGAACGCTGAAGGATGGAGAGTTGCCGGGGCGAGGAGAAGGTTCCAGTCTGGGCCCAAGGAGGAAGCCGAGTTCTTCCTTCTCCGCTCCAGAAAAGTGCGCCAATCATTGTGCTCTGTGCCCCTGTTTCGAGGTGGCTTTATTTGCTTATTTAATGTTCAAATGCAACGCCGATGGACGTGATGATCCTTGGATTCTGCCAGGGCCAAGCGGTGCGGCAACGGGAAATGAGCATCGTTTAGGACGGTTGCCGTCGTGAAATGAGGGGTCCGCGTGGGGCAATTGCGACTTATCAATGGCCGGTTCGCTGCCGAATCGGCCAAAAACTTCGATGATGAGCTTTTATTACTTGTACTTAGTAAGGTTTCAGTGAGGGTATTTGTTCATCAGACTCGGTCAAACTCATCAAGCCCGTCAACCTCTCAATGACGTAGGCCAGGATGGCCGTAATTCTCTTCTAACATCCGTTATGCTGCCTCTCAACTCTTTGGACACTAAGCCTGGCTAGGTTCTATTCAACCTTCTCCTCAGACAAATCCTAAAAGACCCTCCGTCGTAAACAGCTTGGCGCAAAGTGTTAAAACCGCCCCGACCATGCAAACGATGCCGCCAAAGATGGAAATTTGGTCATAACCGTGGTACCGATTGAGCAACGCACCGCTGACCGGCGGCCCAATCAACACAGCCATTGATGCGAATGCGATACCCATTCCCATGTAGGTTCCGATATCCTTTGGTGTCTTTGGGCAGAGGGTGAAAACCACGGACCCTCCTGAGATGATGGCGCCAGAGGTGAGACCATACGCTGCAGCAAAGCCGATGATTCCAGCCTCAGTCACGGCTTTGGGCCAACAGAGAATCGAAATGGCTGTCAACAATCCCGCAGTGAACAGAATGTTGATGCGACCAAATTTGTCGCCCAGGACGCCGGGGATAATGCGGCCAGGGATCGAGGCGCCGTTGATGACGGCCACCAGATAAGACGCCAATGAAGGACTCAAGCCATGATCGATACCGAATGTGGGCAAGTAAAAGAAGGGAATGAACATACCCACAAACATGAGGCATACGCCACCAGTGAGGCACAGGAACAGCGACTGTCGAAAAGCCTTCCAGATGAAAAATTGGCTCCGTCGCGGGGGAAGACGGGCCCTCACCGCGACGGACGAGAATAAGAGAAACGGCATCATGATGAACCCGCAGATGCGAACGGCCCACCCGAATCCCAGCCTGTCCAGCAGCTCTGAGAGCACGATAGGAAACACGACTGCACCCAGCGACGAGCCAGCGATGGCGAGGCCCATGGCTGCTCCTCTTCTCCTTTTGAAGTATTGAGGCGTGGCGGCCATTGCGGGGAACATGATCAACCCGTTTGATATGCCGCTGAGCACACCCTGAGCGAGCATGAACTGCCAGTATTCGTTACATAAGCTCGTCATCATGACTGAGAAGATGTATACTATCGCGGCGGGACGAATGACCTAGTCACGATTAGAATCTCCTCGAGAACGACTCAAAGAAGCCAGTGCCTTGCGTTCCACTCACCCATGCGCCATAGCGGTCAAATATTGGTCCTCCGATCGCTCCGGAAGCAAATACCAAGAATGCCTGTATTGATCCGATCCACGATATGTCGTCTGGCGTATGATCCGAAAGCTGATGTCGCGCGTAATATGCTTGGAAGACGCCAAACGAGTTGGTGTACCCCAGCGAGCAGAATAGGATGGCCGCGGTGCCGGCCGCCACAAGCCATGCTCGCGTACCGCCTTCCGGGAAGTCATCTTCAGCCGACTGAGTGACCTTTTCTTGTTTTTCCTGTTCTCCTGGTCTTCCTTGGTCTGTTGATGGTGTCGACTTGCTCTTCTCCGACTCGGCGCGCGACTGTTGAAGCACTTCCCCGCGACCCTCGCCGGAATTGCCTCTCGATGGCCCACCCTCGACGATATCCTTCACTTCGCCCTTGGTCTCTGTTGGTTCGTTCATGGTTGCGTTGCTCTCAGAGAACTCTGTGTCTGACAGAAATTCAGTAAGCTTGGATCAGCTCATCCTTATCCTGGTCAGAATTGAGGCGCGTCGCGGACTATTGAATACTACCAAGACGTCCGCCCCTCGGGACCGACTGCCCGCGGCCACCGTCACGAGATGCCTACCCGTGAGGCATACATGAACCTTTGAAAACTTCGCAGCGTGTGGGCTCCATTTCTGCAGCTTGGCAGCTACTCGGGAGGAACGTGCCAGTCCGAGCCATTGGGACTTCGCCGATCGACCTGCTTGACTGCGGCTACGGCACGGCCGAAAGCGCACGTGCGCCGGCGAGCTTCCGGAGGCTCATTTGTTTACAGTGAGTTTGAGAAGACGCAGCCCAGCCCGACGGGAGCCCCGTTGAAGGTGGATGAGGTCTCGCAGGGCCGTGGCATCTGCAAGCTTGCTGGGGCTCATCGCGTTGGCTGGAGACGTTTGAGGGGTGACGATGACTTCATGGTTGGCAGATGACATAGCCTCTCTATGCATTAGGTTCATGACGCTATCGAACGTCCACAACCAACGTCGTCTGATCACCAAGTGGTAAGTGCTGTGCAGCTTTCTCAAACAGCACGTAGCGTACTTGGATCGACGCCAAGGGGAAGCGAATGCGGTTCTCGATACTGCAGCTCCTGTCGATCAATAGTCTCCGACGCAGGCTGTACGTCTACCCTTGCACGTTTACCCGTGTCATCAACCCCGATAACCTTAAATCAATGAAGGCATTCGTCTGTGAACACCCGGAATTACAACACCGCTTGTTGCCCAACTGATGCCCCTCATTACTCAATCAGTGAGTTGATATACCGGTTTCCCATACACGTGACATTCATCAAGAGCTCTCGTCTGATGACCACAACGAGGTTCTTTCTAAGTCCACCGCGTCGGCTTGGGACTTCGCCGCAACTTTTCAAACCTTCCAAATATCATGGGCAACCGCCACGTTATGTTGATCAAGGGTTTTGGAGACATGAAGAGCTCTTCAACAACCGTGATGCTGCTCCGCACAGATTGTGATCGCGTCAAGGTCCTGCCTTACCAAATGGCGGACGCAGTCTGTGTGCTTGACGGACTTCAGAGTATGGGTCTAAGTTACCTTGTCTTTCCGAGGGGGTTTGGTGAGGCAAGGTGCATGTTTCTACGCGTGTAAACAGCTTGAGACTACGCTCTGGTGGACTCGGATCAACTACGATAGCCTCCGCTGATCTCCATCCGTCCAACCGAACTTCCTAATCTAAATCGATTCCGACGTTGGTTCGTCTGAGGTCTTGTCACTGCCCTGCTTGCCAAGCCGGGTGAATCTCTAGATCGAACACATATGCTATACGTTAGGTGCCACAGTTTCTCGGACTGCGCCGTTGGTTCCCGAACGAGCTGTTTGGCGGTAGAAGTCGTCCAGTCGACGTTTCTCTTTTGGTGAGAAGACCAGCTTCAACTACAAGACTTCCACAGTCTGTTCTCTGAACCACTCAATCCTCCAACGACTTAGACTGAATGTAGGGAAAGTCTGGGGGGAGCGGAGCTGACGTTTGGTACTGTATGCATCATCTGAGCCGAGCCTTCGTCAGACATGGAAAGACTTCGTGAACATAAGACGTTTCATGTCCTGTTTCTGGGCCGCACTCCGGCTACCATATCTTTCTTCTACAATCTCAATATGGCTGTCTCTGAGGCTGCTGACAACTTCTCGTTACACGATTATCTGTGAGGCATCGCCAGCACACATTGAAGTTGCCACTTGACAACCTGTCGTTCCATGGTTTCGTCTGTTGGCAAGTACATGTAGTTTGCACAATGCAACAGAAAATGCGTTACATGCAGATATTGGAACGATCCTCATCAACGGCAAAACCGCACATGACAAACCCCTTAATATGGAAGAATGCATCTTGAACGGAGCTTCAACCTCCGTGAACCGTGATGTTTTCCCGTTTACCCCGCTACAATGCCAGTAGGTGATGACTATTTAGCCCCGGCTCCCCTGCGACTGCTGCACGCCGAGACTCGCGCCCAGACTCACCCCGCAGATCCCCCAGACGCCCTCTTCGGCACAAACTTTGAGCCAAGAGCGTATGGAACCACGCAGCATCTTCCGCCTTTAAGCTGTCAGAAACGTTATGGATAACAGCTTAGCTTTCGATAACACCAGCTGTGGCTCTCTGTCTGAAGGCATAGTTTGCATGATACTTGTCAGCACTGTTCTCCTGAAATTCCCGCTGGTTCCGTCTATGCAACCCAGAACCAGACCTTAAGGATAGTTGCCAAGAAAGCTCACGAAGTGAGTAATACCTCGCCGTAGTATGGCGCATCATGCCTGATATTTTCAACTTACTGACCCTGAATTGCGTAGTCTTGAGAGCCCGAATTCTGGGAGGGCTTTGTCAGAAGAAAGAAGCCTCCAAATATCAACATGAATTTGTCACTCACTGCCTACAGCTAAGGTAGGAAAACCAATGAGCCGCTTGGCGCCGATGGAATTCGATCTCACGCTGGGGGAACATAGCCGCCTCGAGCTTCACTATCGACGCAAGTCTCCCAGGCCGTTTCTCGAGCTCCGATACGGACAAGGGAGCCCTGCCGGACCAGTTCGGACGGTAGACTAGCGAAAGCCGAAGACAGACACGATCGGCAAGGCACCACGGCCGTTCCTGACGACCTTTCCTGATATCAACCCGTGCATCCCGGAGCTATTTGCTCACTCCTGCCGTCGCCGAGATCTTGGCTCTTGCAAGCATGACTTGTCTCTTCATCCCCCGGCCACCACATCCCGTTGATTATCGAACAAACGACCAATGAAGCAAATCACCTCCCTGCTTACAAGACCTTGGCAGTTATTTGATACATGGGTTTCTCCGGCTCGAGAGGCCTCAGGGCCGCGACCCATGGGACCCTTTCCTTGCAACAAGCGCTCAACTGTTGACCGTTCTGGAAGTGGGGTCTGTGTTGCCGGCGGGAATTTCGTCCCGTTCAACTCTTGGAAGAGTTGGACGACAAGGTATAATGCGACCCAAGGTCACATGGGACTCTTTCGAGCAAAGATATTGTCCTTGCGAGTGTTGGCAATGTAACAGTCCGATCCCTTTCGTCGGCTGTCGACAAGTGGTAGAGCCTTGGTCACGGAACTGGACGCAATGTTGCCGGAATCCGGGACGCTTAGGAGAAGCTCTTCGGGGAGCCTCATTCCGCAATCGTGAAAGACAGAAGACCTCTGGACGAAGACAAGAGCATAAATAGTGAGGAGTAAGCCTCCGTGTTCAGCTGAAGTTCAAAGTAGGCTTCTCACAACCTACCTTCAGCATTCACCTGCTAACTCAGAAGACAATCTTCCAGTCTCAGTGGTTTCTTTCACGATGAAGTACACTCTCTCAGCACTTTCCATGCTGGCCATGGCTGTGGCCCAGCAGGTCGGCACAGAGCAGGCTGAGACTCACCCCAAGCTCAGCTGGCAAAGATGTACTTCTGGATCTTGCTCCAACGTCAACGCCGAGGTCGTCATCGACGCCAACTGGCGCTGGGTTCATGGTGTTGGGTAAGTTACATTGCTGGTTTATGTCTTTTCTTGAGGTGATTATCGACAGCACTCGCTAACATCTTCTTCCAGCGGATATCAGAACTGCTATGACGGAAACTCGTGGACCGGCCTGTGCACGACTGGAGACAGCTGCGCCCAGACTTGTGCTGTTGAGGGAGCCGAGTACGGCGGCACCTACGGCGTCTCAACGAGCGGTAATGCCTTGACCTTGAAGTTCGTCCAGGAGCACCAGTACGGCAAGAACATTGGTTCTCGCATGTACCTCATGAATGGTGACAGCAAGTACCAGACCTTCCAGCTCCTGAACAACGAGTTCGCCTTCGACGTCGACTTGTCCAGCGTCGAGTGCGGCATGAACAGCGCTCTGTACTTCGTTGCGATGAAGGAGGACGGCGGTCTCTCGTCGGAGCCTAACAACAAGGCTGGAGCCAAGTATGGTACTGGTTACTGCGATGCTCAATGCGCTCGCGACCTCAAGTTCATTGGTGGCAAGGTAAACTTCAACACCCCGTGCCAGACAAGCAGAGACATTGCGACTAATAGTCACGACGAACAGGGTAATGTTGTAGGATGGGAACCTTCTGAAACCGACGACAGTGCTGGTGTCGGTAACATGGGTGCCTGCTGCGCCGAGATTGACGTCTGGTAAGATGCCTGTACCGGTTCTCACTCGAGAGTCGCTCAAATCCTGATTATTTCATAGGGAATCCAACGCCTATGCCTACGCTCTGACTCCTCACCCTTGCGAAAACAACAACTATCACGTCTGCGAGGGTTCCAACTGCGGCGGCACCTACTCAGAGGATCGCTACGGCGGCGGCTGCGATGCGAACGGTTGCGACTACAACCCGTACCGCATGGGCAACCCTGACTTCTACGGCCCCGGAAAGACCATTGACACCACGAAGAAGTTCACCGTCATTACCCGCTTCGCCCCCGATCGCATGTACCAGGTCTTCATCCAGGACGGCAACACCATCGAAGTCCCCGGCGCCAAGTGGGAGGGTGTCCCCGAGACTTCGGAGATCACGCCCGAGTACTGCGAGCGCCAGTTCGCTGTCTTCAACGAGCGAGACCGCTTCAACGAGGTCGGCGGATACCCCCAACTCAACGCTGCGCTCAACATCCCCATGACGCTTGTGATGTCCATCTGGAGCGACGTGAGTGTTTCCTCCCATCACACATGCATCCTCCAGCCTTAGAAATAGCTGACGCGACGTGATAGCACTACGCCAACATGCTCTGGCTCGACTCCACCTACCCTCCCGAGAGGGCCGGAGAGCCCGGTACCGAGCGTGGACCTTGTGCCCCGACTTCGGGTGTCCCTGCCGAGGTCATCGAGCAGTTTCCCAACTCGCAGGTTGTCTGGTCCAACATCCGCTTCGGTCCTATCGGCAGCACTTATGCTGTCTAAGAGACCTGAAAAGGGAAGACTGAAACTGGTCCGAGAACGCGGTTCACCTCGAGAGTGTCTCCGGACGTATACTGAGTGGCGCACATCTCGTTTTCCTCTTGTATATAACTTCTCTTCTTCCATGGTCGGCACCATCTTTTCAGCCCGACTTTGTCCCATAGACTCGGGCTCAAATACACATATCCGCACTAGCCAATACACCAAACACGTGCTCCTAGTATTCGTCTTGTGCTCCGAAGGCAAGGGAACTTGTCGGAATGCAGCCCATCGAGGACTTGTTGCTAGGAGTATCGGATAATCGTATGCGTATCCGCAATCAGTTGTGTTTTCCACGATTGTGTTAGGCACACAGCCTTTTCTAATTACCGTTCAGGTAGAAGGAGAAAAGCTTGTCTTTGGCTATTAAAAGTATCAAATCCACCTTCCAGCTGAGTCATTATGCCGGCAGGTATCCGTAGTGTAGTCAAAACATGGGCCCTAAATGGCAGCGGGGAGTATCGGAGAATCGTGGTAACAGCATCGATGAGTCGTTGACGTTTGCGTTTTATGTTCGCTGGTCGATTCGCAGGCTCGGATACTGACAGAGTTCGTCTCGGCGTCGGCTCAGTTCGGCTCGGTGGTAATCTGCTACCGCATCGATTCTCGGTCGGAGGAGCCAGAATCGTAGCTGATAGAAGAGAGTCCCTAGACAGCGAGGGTGATCAACTTCTATCTATTCGTACACTGTAGGGCAGATGAACAGTAATCCCACGTCCTGACTCAGTACAATCATGGCAGACTCCGAATTAAAAGCGAGCGTCCGCGTACGGATAGAGTGTTGTCGGATAGAGATTTGTATGTATGGACTCCTATGGGTCGGAGGTCGTGCATAGGAGAGATATGGGACGATTAGCCAAGGCATTTATTCGCGATTGGGCAAGTCGAACAGTTGAGTGTCATGAATGCACCGACGTGACGAACCAGCCTCTGGCTGTAGCTCAACAGGAGAGCGAGAGCGAACTGCTCTAAACAGGGATAGCCCAGACACTGTCCGTCTCTTGGTTGGTCAGTAGGAAGAGACAAACGTCAGTTTGCGGACGCTAATGCAGGCTGCTGACACGCTAAAATCTGGGTAGAGATCAAACAGGGGCTTTAAATCCGTCCGAATACACTCCAGTCTAGGAGAATGCTTCGCCTCACCGATGACAACGGCCAGATAGGTTCTGGATTAGCAATCCATCAAGAAGATAGCAATTCACAAAAAGGACAGAACATAAGGACCAAATTGATCCTCAATCTCAGTTCTCAGCTATTTGCAAATGTCCTCAGGTTTTTGAAAGTACAAGAGAAAGATTGTAAGCAACTTCGACTATGCTCTGATGATGAGACTATCCGCACAAACTAGGCCTGAGTCAGTAGGAGTCCCCACCATCTAAAAAGGCATCGACACCGATTCGACGATTTAGGTTACGACCTTGTGGCACCATCCCTGGGACTTAGACGGTGGAAGGCCGTCAGCAGGCTGCATATAGTCCTCTTGAGGACCAGTCTCATCTCTCCTCGAGCCTTGTCGTCATCCGTTTGTCAAAGAACGACCAGATCTTCGGAGCTGCTGACTGCTGACGCGCCTGAATCTCTACTACCTCCATTGGCGCCTTTATGACCAATGTCTTTCGAGGATATTTTTCCAAATTTAGAAGCAACGGCAACAATGGAGATGTGTTTCAGTCCAGGCCCGGCGATTCCTGCCGGGACGGTCATCCCTGTGGTTGCAAATCCTCGTCTGGCGGAACTACGAGACCCTTCGGAGGATTGGACTGGAGTTACGAGTACGGCGGAGAGACGGAAATTGCAAAACCGGCTGAACCAAAGAGCGCGAAGTGAGTCCACCTCTGTACCCTCCGCTGACGTCTACTTTATGAATTCGTTTAAGGATAGTAGCATCCAGCAGACAGCTAACTGTAACACGCGTATTATAAGGGCGACGAGCACAGAAGAAACTCGGCAAACATTCTCCATCAGACAGAAGTCCATCCTCCGAAGTGGACTCCGACCCATCAACAGCCCTGGTGAAAAAGGAGTTGCGTTCGCCGACGAACGAAAACACCCAGACGGCCCTGGCAGCCATCGTCGCAGGGAAGATCGGAAATGTTCCCCAAGACATTTGCCTCCTGGGAAAGAAAGGCATGCCAGCCATGCTAGAAAAGTTCGCCGAGAATGCCTACGACGACTACATGCGTGGCCGGCCCTGTACAGACTACCTAACAACCCTCGTCCGCGTCAACGTCTTCCACGCCTTTGTCCGCAACGCCCACGCCCTCAACTTCGACGCAGGGTGGCTGACCTACGACTCCATCTCCCCCTTCAACAAGTCCGGGCCCGGCTTGGGTCTCGCCACGACGACCACAACGTGTCCGTCCAACATGCTGCCCACAGCGCTACAACTATCCGTCGAACATCACCCGTGGATCGACTTCTTCCCCCAACCCCGCATGCGAGACAACTTTCTCCGTGTCGTGGCCGAGCACGGTGAGGACTACGTCGACGAGGACGAAATGTGCCGGGACGTGGTCGATGTGGGCGCGGGTGCGGGAGTTGAGGACGCGGCGCTTATCGTTTGGGGGGAGCCGTGGGATCCGCGGGGCTGGGAGGCCACGGAACCGTTTCTCCGGAAATGGGGCTGGCTGCTGGACGGCTGCACTGAAATGCTCGAAGGGACAAACTACTGGAGGGAGAAAAGGGGCCTACGGAAACTCAAATTCAACTGATGCAAATCCTTGCACAAAACAACAGTCCCTCCGCCCGTGTCGAACACAACAAAACATGGGACCTGATGATCAGAAAGGCAAATGACCATGTATCAGTGTTACTCTGACGTCGTTTGACGAGGTATCTACTGGCTTTACCATCACGAGCTCTTACTCTTCTCCTGATCTAGAATCCCCATCAACTCGACAAAGTACGGGAGAAATGCCTCGCATTCGACCCTGAAGCCTTCATGGGCACCCGCGACGTCGACTTTCGGACACCCTAGAATCTTCGCCTGCTCATCAACCGCCTGGGCATACCACGCCTCTCTGCTCCGAATGCCCCTCATCAACCCGATACTCGTTCCGTTCTCCTTGATGCGATACAAACTCGGCAGATAGCCCAGCAAGACGGTAAACTCGTTAGCCCAGTGGTTCGGGGGATTCATCGGATCCGATGGCCCCGTCCGAGGTACACCTTCGTCGAAATAGCCGATCAGCCTAGAGCTGAACTCCTTCTGCGCAGCATCGACCCCCGAAGCCTCATATATCTCAAGACAATTGTACAAAAACTCGAAGACCTCGGTGGCGTTCGGCAGTAGCATGAAGGTCGGAGCTTCGTGGGAGATGATGTGCTCGACCATGTCAGGGTAGTCGATGGCGAATTGGAACGCGAGGAGACCACCCATACTACTTCCGAAAAGAGTGGCTTTGTCGAAGCCGAGGGTCACGATGATGGCGCGTATATCTCTAGCTTGCTGTGGTGGATGAAGCCTCTTGTTCACCTTAGCTTGACTCGCTGACATTTGTCGGCGGTCAAAGGTGGCGCAGGTATATCTATCCGACAGAGCGGCGATGATTGTGTCGTATTGCCGTCCATGGCCGTTGCCTCCGGGGATGAACACGATGAGCGGGCCTTTGCCTTGTGACCAGTAGTGAATATCGCAGTCATCGATGTGAAGGACTGCACGGGTTGGGTTAAACTCCATTGCCATCGTCGTGGTTGTCCCGGAGTCTCATGTAGGTAGTCAGAGATAACTTTAGGTTCAACTGGAAATGGCACTGGGCTTGATAGATTAGGTACTTGAGACACAATTATATAGACGAACACCTAGCTATATAAAGTGTTCGCGAAGGAACAAAGACCGCATCTGATGATGTCCAGTTCTGAAAGGCGTGATCAAACATTAGCGGCCGTTTGATGACCCGGCTTACAGAATCGCGATTAGAAATCCAAAGGACGCGTTCTCTGCCTGCAAGGCGGTGATCCTGTCAGCATAGCTAGATTAACCGGATCAATCGGAAAGAATGGTGGATGTTACGGGCCGGATCTCCTACAGTAAGCTGACGAAAAGGCGCAGGTGATTGGAGGCAACGATGACCTTTGAATCCGGACCCGGGCCCCAACAAACAACGGAAACCGGACCGGCGTTCGGCCCCACATCGACGCATCCGCGATTTTGGCAGTGGTAATGACTCAATTACCTACTACCTGGCTTAGCTATCTCATGACGATTAATTTCCAAAAGGACTTCCCACGGAGAACAATGAATGCAGCAGATATCGATGGATCCTCTCGAGCAACCCAGATGTTTACTCTCGCGACTCCCAAAACCCTCGGCAAGTCTCGGTAGCGATTGTGTCACTAGTTGTGGCACGCAGCAATGGGCATATGAAGTGGGTTAAAGTGGCTTGAAGTAACCCGTCTGGAATGAGCACATGAGAGCAGTCTATATACTAAGTGAATGTGATATCCACGTGAGAAAGCCCGTGGCAAGATGCTTGCCAAGTGCTGATGCCATTCCTGTTTCGTGACAGATTGCTGACATAGCAACTGTCGTATCGATCACAACCACGAGGAATTGAGTGACGATAACTTGCAGCGCAGAAGTCATGGGGTTTACCATTGCAGTCGCTCGGGCAGTCAATGGCTGTTGTACAGGCTCATATGCTCCTTATAGGATAAGTAAGTATCGTGAAGCCTGAGCCACCCCTTTTTGTCGTAACTTCCTCTTGATACCGATCGATCTGTATCAGAATATTTTATCTACGTATCCACGGGTATCTTAGACATTCAACTAAAAGTGTGGCCATTGCTGTTAGCTCGGTATATCAAAGTCTAGTTTTTCAATCTCTTTACGCGGCCACTGCAGGAAATCTAAGTACGGAGCATCCAGATTCGACGCCACGCCTCGTAAAATGTGATCGGCCCAGCCGCGCATGTACCACAGCCACTCGAGTGTCTTGACCAGCACGGCAAAATGGCCCAGCAATAGCAACGCGATGCTCTTTTTCTCCTTGAGACACTGCACGAAGTCGTCGTCGGTGCGGTAAATGCAAGCCATGATCACCTCCATCTTACCCTCCGATGCGGTAATGGGCTCCGCAGTTGTTCCAAAAGTTTGTTGGAAGGCGATGGATACGTAATCCATCATCTTCCTATAAGCTGCTTCGTCGCCATCTGCAGAATCGGAAATAAGTTGCGTGACGCGTCTTAGGGCAGGTTCCCATGTAATCAGTCGTGACCCTCTGGAGCTCGGAGATGGCACTGACACTTGACCTGACAAAGAAGATGGGTCTTCGCTAAGTGGAGAGTCCTCTCCAGACGGCATGGGACCGAGGACGCCCGAGAAGATGGCCTCGAAACCAACCGTCTCGATAACGAGCCTGACGCCTCTGAGCAGCCCGAACCAGGCCACCTCAACGCCGTCCGATACGATGAGCAGATTTCCTGGCGCGGGACCGCGAGCGAAGCTACAAGAGCAGACGAGAGTGGTGGCGATATAGAGGACGCTGGCAGTGTCGCGGCCGAGGCGGGGCATAATCTCCATAGTCTGGCGCAGGCCGGTCTCGTAGTGTTTGTCTGCCAGGCCTCGGTACCTCGCACACTCGTCTAATTTGATGGTAGCTAGATGGAACGCGGACACGGCAAGAAGGAGGTGGAGGACGGAGTGGTTCTCAAAGGCGAGCAGAGGCACTTTTTGACGCCAGAGGGTTGCGTCGCCGTGGTCTAGGGCCGGGCAGGTGAGAAAGTGGTGCAGCAGGGCGAGGTCGTCTACAGTCCAAATCCATGGAGCAAGCCCATTAGGGGAGACTCCCAGCAGTAGAGATTTCGCAGCGGTTGATGTGCTGCTACATGGCGAAGAAGCGTGGCTCGGGGTGTCAGATGATGAAGCTGCTGAGGGGTGAAGGCGCCGGTTTGGTCTGGTATAATAGCCATCGCGAGGCGTATTGTGTCGGCCCTCATTGGCCGTCGGCTTGTGTAAAGGAGACAGGCGATTAAAGGCATCATGAGAGGTATAAGCTTGAGTGTCCGAGTCTGAACTTGGTGTTGAGCGCTCGAAGCTGCAGTTGTGTAGGGCTTTTGAGCACTGCCCGCACTTAGGCTTGGCTTCGTCACACTGTGCTAGTCGGTTAGCGTTTTAGGCATGTATTTAAGATGGTGATCTTGCCTTGATCCTGCGCTTCTTGCACATCTCACAGCCATTCCGCGACTTTTTATGCGGCCGGCGCTTCACGATGTGGCATGTTTCGCAAGTGCAGCTCGGATCGGCATGCGTGGCCTGCGGAGGGCCGCCACCCGGCATTTGGTCAGGTACTAGTAGCTTGATAAAGGACGGTCAAGTGGTATCAGACTTCCTGCGTCTAGATGATGGCTTAAAGACGGTGCGTTAAGTTGACGATGGTAACCGCAGATGGGAGGGGTTGAGGTGGTCAAATTACGAAGAGGAATTCGAGACAAAACGAGAAAGACAAAATTCAAATAGGGACGGAGGCCTACGAGGTGGGGGGAACTGACCAATCACCAATGAGCAGTGACTTGATCATCTCTTGCTCCGATTCGGTCCGTCTTGTTTAATCCAACTAGCCTTGACTCATCTAGAGATACAATGTTACATATCTACGAGGAGTCCTATTCCTGAACTTCTTGGACCATCTGCATCTTCTTCACCGTTCACTCATCACCGCACATCAGTACTCATCGACCAGACGTTGCAGACCACCAGATTAAGAGCATGGCACTAAGGTGACATCTACAGGGAATGAAGTTAATTTACGAGAGATTCATTATCAAGGGTTGCTTCCGCGGCATCTCAGCACGGAAGACGTCTGAAGGAGTATAATAGTTTTACATGTAGAATGAGCTAGTCTCTCATCCTTCGCTGCAGAGCCTGTGCCGTGAGCCAGCTAAAGGAGACGGGATAGTTCCAGGCAATCTTTGCGAATAGTGACGAAGTGGCCCAGTGATGTCACAGCTTCATCCGGGGCGTGCAAGTTGACTGAAGTCAAGAGAACAGCCCCCCTTCCCCCCACCTCTAGTATTCTACCTAGCCACCAAATGGCATCAAGTTTACTCAAGACAAGACCAGCAAGTGGCCGCGTTCTTGCTCGCACAGCCGCTATCGAATCTCGCCTTTTGCGGATAAGGGCACAGCACCTGCTCCTGCGTCGATCCGTCCGGCAGCGTCACGGTCACCGGTGACGATTCGGGCTCAGTCCCGTTCTCGACCCAAGCCCGAAGCTCGCCGAAAATAGCCTCGGGCTGCCCTCCCTTGCCGCCCCAGCAGTGCTCGAGGCCGGGGACGCGGTAGTACTTGTAAAAGGATGTGATATTGCCTTCGACTACGTTGGCGACGGTGTTGTAGTAGCGGAGGGTACCACCCGGGGAGATGCTCTGATCGGCCTTCGAGATGTTAGCTCAGTACACTGCGTGGCATTTGTATGGGAATTAGGAGATGATGGATGTACTTACGAGTCCGTGGTAGGTGATAATCTTGCCCCCTGCTTTCTTGAAGTCGGTTAGATCCGTCTCGTCGGTCTCCATGTTGGAAGCAAAGACCAGCTTGGCAGCGCGGTGGATCGTGTCAAAGGTTCTGTCCGTAATGTTGGGCACCGTCGCGTTGGGGTCTTTGGCGACAAAAGCCTGCCAGGCAAACGCAACGTTGGCTTCGCCGGCGCTGCTCTGGCAGACTTTACCGGTGCACTCTGTCGGTGCGATGATGGAAAGGTCGCTGCCCATCTCGTACCCGTCGTATATGAACCTCCCAGTGGAGGAACGGGGACCGGTCCAGGAGGCGTTGGCTACATTGGCAGCAGCTTGGCTGATTTCGAGCGTCGAGTTAGTTTGAGAGCACTGGAACGACTTTCCAACTTGTGCAGTTACGTTGAAGTTTGCTCTGCAGGCCTCGGGATCACTGATGAGGCCGTCCTTGACACCGTCTAGCTCGTCGCAAGTGGAAATGGCCAGGGCGGTGAGCGCGTCAAGTTCGCAACCGAGCGGAAACTGCTGCGTCTTGAGCATATAGTAGCTCGGCCAGATCGAGTTAAGGTAGAACTCGGCCCAGTTGATAGCGGGGGCGGCCGACATGATGCCATCATAAGCGTCCGGGTATTGCTGCGCCAGCTTGAGGCCCTGGCGGCCGCCCTGGGAGCAGGCGTTCCAGTAGGAGCGCGTGGGGGGCTTGCCGTAGAAACTCTCGATGAGCTGTTTCGTCATGACGGCCTGTTGCGAGAAATATTGGTCAGCATCTTGGTTTGAAACGTGTAGTGTTCATGTTGTTGATCAAGAAAACCAGCGCACCTCATCATTCAGGGAGACCTGACCAAAGTTCTGAAGGGCGTTGGTGTCCAGGCTTCCCGGGCTCTTAAGTAGCCAGTCGATGGGATTCGTGGTAGTAGGAATTCCGGCGTCGGTGGTGACGGTCGCATAGCCGTTGGCGACGGCGTTGATCATGGCGGCGTAGCTGAGAATGAAGCGGCCGGGGTTCCAGCCGCCGCCGCCAACGGCCTGCAGAATTCCATTGTAGCGATCCACGGTCGGTAGCCAGGCCTCGGCGGTGAGGGAGTCATTCTGCCCTGGGTGCGTGTATGTGACGGTCACATTGCAGAAGGTGGCGTTCTCGACGTTGAGGGCCGGCTGGGAGTAGGTCCATCCCTTTGGCACGTCGAAGCTGTAGTTTTCGACGAGGTTGGCTTGCACAGCGAGGATACTGGCACCTAGGAGTGTTGGATTCCCGAATGTCGCACTTACGCAGCGACTTGCGTTGACGGCGAGGGACATGATGGCGGGATGAGGTAGGAAGAATGGAGTTTTGCTAAGAAGGTTGCCAAAGGAATATGGCTGTCAGGGAAGAACAGAACAACAACCACGGATGCTCTACCTTATAAAGCAGTGGGCTGGCACTGATGGCGGCACTACTTGGGAAGTGACTTCATAGTGAGGCCTCACGATCGCGGAGATTAAGAATTCGCTTCCTGCTCACGGCAACGTCGTAGACTCATCGACCTGAAGGATAGAGGGTCTACTGAAAGGAAATCAGTTCTCGCATTGGTTCAGCAGATGATGGATCGGGACTAACACGCGCACCTGGAGCGACTTGACCATGACCACTTCGCTTCTTGTTGACCATCATGCCGTCAAGTCTGGTTTATCTGAGGCCTGACGACAACTTTCACAGCCACCACTCCGGGGTCGCCGCAGCTAGAGGTGGGACTCTCCATTAAATGTTGCTTGATGCTGGGTCCCGGCACCTCAAATCCTTTCTCGAAGATGCAAAGAATGCGTCTGCGTCGGGGCGATACCCGAATGAGTTCGAGATTGGACTTTGAGTTGTAATTCACGGACCCACGTGACTAAACGACAGGGGTCGTATTCTATACGACCCCTGCACTTTGATCGTCGGACGCTAATGGAATCTGCGACTTGCAAGTATCACTCCGTAAGTAGATGACACTAATATTGCACTATCCACTTGTGGTCAAGACTCGAAGACACCATGATCCATCACTGGTGACGTTCGCGCTCTTCGTCCTCTTAGACACAAAAATCCACCACGCATTTTAACCGAGTTGCGGTTCTACGAGAGTTGAATTTGGTGGGTCCACACTTTCGAGAGCGGAAAGCCTCGTGATGGGGCGGCTCAGTTGGCTGGATCAGCGAACCCGTTAAAACGCAAAAGCAAAAGTCTGCATACATCTCGGACCTTGCCGCTCAGCACGGAAACGATGCGACAGTGACCATATCGATGAGTCCACTAAATTTTCGTACAGAGGAACGGATCAGTCTTGGCTCGTTCACGCTGGCACATTTACCGCATGACGACTTTCAGGACTAGGTTGTCCCGGATAGGGGTCGATAAAAACGGGCTTTTTTTCAAATCAAACTGGGTTTTCGTACCGGAGCATTGTTGTCTCGGAACACTAGTCCCGGAAGATTTGATGCCACCCGGGCTCGAAGACTTTGTCAAAAGGCTTGCGTTACTTTCCAACTGCTCGGAGTAGTCCAGATCACCCATGGATCTTGTGTCTAGTAGACAGACTACGGAAGTATTAGTCATGTCCTCAAATGTTTGTGGGCTTTCAAGGGTTAGCAGGGGCTTGCGCAGGGTTCAGAATAGACAAGATTCGGTTGCTATTTACCATCCTGATAACTAACTTGACCCTTTTTGGCTGTTTTGGGCAAGTCTCGGCTTTCGCCCCCAACTCGTTTGTGGTACGGGCCCTGCCAGCTGAAAGGGAGCTCTTTCGGCACATGCCTTGACAAGGACACCTTTGCTACTGCCACATATTCTCCTAGTTGCGCGGACCCGGCAATGGCTTGTTAGATATTGCACGTGGAACTGAAGGCGCTTTGTGTTAAACGACGTTGAGGCCAACGGCTTAGGTGGTTTGAGACTCCAGCCTATCGGCACAATTATGATATAAAGCCAGGACGCAGGAACCCCTTGGTAGAATCTTGAATGAAATCAGGCAGTCTTTCCAATTTGTAATATTTTCTTCGCTCTGTCACGGCTGTTGGTAGTGTTTTGTTTTCTGTAAAGCCAAACAACTAGGCAAGCAGCTCTCTTTTCCCAACGTTTACAGCCTCTTCAATCATTCTTTTGCTCTTGTTTTCACCTCATCCCGTCTTTCAGAATCGAACGCGGGGGTACCGAGTTGGCTATATCAAGAACGCACCATCCAACTAGATCGATATCTAGAGAGCCTGTCTACTCTTACTATCTGCTAGTGCAACCTCGCTCACTCGCTCACGATGCCGAACCAAGAATGGCAAAGCGATCTCATGGATTGCAGCCCATGCGGCACCTGCATGATGGCCTCATTCCTTCCGTGTATGGGTACGTCAACGAGCTCTACCCAGCCCCCCGACTTTACATCACTAAGAATCTATCTCGTTGCTGACCGATGCACTCCTGATGTCCCACGTCAGTCTTTGGCAAAACCTCTGAGCGCATGCGCGACCCCAGCCTCTCGGACTACTCGCCCATCAACGGAGACTGCTTCATGATCTCGGCCCTCGGTTCGATCGGTCTAGGCTGGTTGTAAGTTACATGTTGAACCGGCGCCGCTTTGTCTCTTTGTTCTCAAAGCAGCGACCACGTTCTATTACAGTCTGCTGACTCTATCTTTCTGTCCAGGTTCCTCATGAATAAGCGCGGCGATATCAGGAAAAAATTTCACATTGAGGGAAGTACGTGCGGGGACTGCTGCGTGTCGTTTTGGTGTCCCTGCTGTGTGCTCATTCAGCATGAGAACGAGGTGGAGGGGCGGACCGATTATGGACCGATCAATACCGGGTATCAGTCGCAAGCGCAGAATATGGAGATGAAGTAGACGCGCAGTCTTACGTTTCGATTACTTGGCAAGGTATAAGATTACAATAAATGTACTTTATCCGCCCGAGCGGCACAATTCTACCGTAGCTTTACTTCCATAACAGCATTCATTTTCCGGATTTCACATGTAGCCACCCGGAAGCTGTGAATTGAGGGAGAAGGATTCTCCATCATGGTATGGATTGACTCATGTTACTTGAAGCAGTCATGATTGAAGGAACCAAGCTACGTGAGAGGCTCTTAACCCTAGACGGTCCTGAAGGGGCGTTCAACAGCCTAAGTGCATCTATCTCGCCACGCTAGACATCTCGTATGCGACGCAGATGGCAGAAATGATAACCCCCTACAGTGACCCCTCTCTAATAAGGTGAAATCCAAGGTCTGCACCGCGTCGCCGCGCAGAAGCCGTTGCAGCACGGCCCGATATACTGCCCATTGGTACCATAGCACTCCCCATACGTCGGGACGCAGATACCGACACAGCTGACTCCGGTGACTGGCTGCGGCGGTCCGATTATGACTTGCTGAAGACCCTGTGGTGTAATGCCTCCGACTAGAGCCTTCTCACCGTTTGTGTAGAACGTGCACTGGGAGAGGGCGTTGTAGTCTGGCGCGTCAATGATGTTGACGGAGATGTCGTTGTCTGCGTGCTTGATCAGTACTTTGTCTTCTACTCCCAATGGGATGAAGAGTTCAATTTGGGGGAACTAACTGGTGGGATACACCTGTCCGTCGGCGGGGATCGTCATCTCGTAGGACGCGGGGCCACCGTGGAAGGTTAGGTGGACCGTTTGAGGAGCATCACGATCTTCGAGGGGATGAGAAAGGGAGGGGAGAATGAAAGAGATCGAAGTCAGAAGCACTGCAAACTTCATGATTATAATTCTGGTGTTAGAAAAAGTCTTAGATGGGGCTGAGTGCTTGGGTTGGTCTGAGATGGTAAAGCGATCAATAAGACTGACTACTCTGGGGTTTCATCATAGCTGGCGAGCCCTCACGAGCGTCTTTATACTCCTCCAGATACGCGATCCATCGCCCTGAACCATTTCCCCTCGACTTCGCGAGAAAACATGATGACCCGAATCTCCCTCGTGTAGGTCATCCCAGCACCTACGCTGCTGTACGATCAGCACTCGTCCTCCCACAATCGACAATGGCCCGTCTTCGGGCATGACACCTGTACGACGAATACGAACTCACATGGTCTACGCCTCGAGAGGTATTTTCGTCCCTTGCCAGTTAACTTCACGATACAGTAGCAGTAAGGATCCTTCGGTAGCGATTTTCTACCAGCCCTATTTTTCACCAATGCCGATCGATCTCGTAAAAAAAGAGAAGGTTGTGGCAGAAAAACCAGGGAAAACGTCCCGAACGTGGCGTCAGTCGGACCAATGCCACGATCTCCCCGCAAGACACTAGAACAGATTGATCCTCGGGCTGACTTGGTTCCATGTCACTAGCGTGCGTGTGAGTCCCCAGGCAGAAATTGAAATGGCATTGGCATGGAGGGGAAGTGGAACACGTTTTGTATAAGGCTTTTTACCAGCTTTTGTTGGGACCTCTTGGTAAATGAGGTACCAGCAATCGCCCCCTCTTCGGATGCATGCAGATTGATCGCCCACCGGTCCCAAGCCGGGTCTGGGGAACCTCAGATCCCGGATCCTACAGGCAGAGTAACAAAATCTCGTATCAGGGCGGATGGAGAGGGGTCGCCCTGCGCATCGTACCGAGCATGAGACTGACGTCTATCTGGGTTCATGTCTCAGTTGGGCCTTCTATCAAGTGTAGCCTTTGAGTCGGTGTGGATTTGGGAGGACAAGACATGGTATTTTGCGATAGGGAAGCAAGCACGTCAACAAGGAGAACTCTGAAGTGTTTGCCCACCACCGTGTGAGATCAGGTTACGGGCTTTACCCGAAGTGACAGCATGCCTTGGCATCTCGTGGTAATATGATCAGACTCAGATGCTGTCTGCAAGATCGGCTTCAGCTCCGTTCAGCTAGACGTGCGTCTGACATTTGCATTCGGCGGTCAACAGTCAGATCTCCGGGGCAAGCACCCAATCGTAATCAATTATTTATTGGAAGCATTTTTCATGCAAGGGTTCGAGCGTAACAAGTAAGCTTCAACGTCTTGCGTTCCAATGGAGTCGTCGAGCAATGTCTCACTTTCTCGATAATTTGGAGCTGAGCTTCTAATATGTAGCTACTTTGTACTTTTAGTGACGTTCTCGTTTTCCCAGAGTCACGCCCTCTGGAGGCGTATCCTCGAATAGCCTTTTCATCGATTTCCTTGATTCATCTCATCATTCCTTAGTAGACGAAGTGATGAGACTTATCATGCGGCGGCGCCAGAGGCGCCACACTGATGCTCAAGCTGTCTGACTTACACGCATCACCATCCCAAGGGCCACAATCAGGCTGGCAAACCGTCCCGCTCTTCGGCACCGTCCCGTGCTCGAGATACTCCCGAAGAATCTCGTTCGTGCACTTGCTCTTCGTAGCAATGGCAGCATGACCCACCGATTCCTGGATCACGACAACCGACCCGGGGTGTCCCTCACTCATTTTGTACGCGTTCCTCAACGGAGTCACAGGATCGAGCCGCGAGGACATGAAGAGCAACGGGGCCGCGGGCCGCCCCTCCACAAGCGCTGCGTCGTGCGGCGGCGTCGTGAACGGACCCGTGAAGCGCCACTTGGGGCGGACGAGCCAGCTCGTGCAGGCGAAGCGGATTTGCCCCCAGTAGCCGGCGAAGGTCGGGGACTGGGATTCGAGCTCCGCGACGTAGGCTCTATAGTCGGCGAGAGACATGTTCGAGTTGTCCTCGCCATCGCCGCAGAGGACGGCCTGGCCGCCGTCGCCCCACGAAAGGGGCAGGTCTGTGTTGTTGGGGTGGGTGCAGGCCTGGTCGAGCTTCGGGATCTCGGCGGATGCAGAGTTCAGGAGGGCGGTGTAGTTCCCCTCGATGGCGGCGTTTATTTCGTTGGCAAGCTTGGTGAAGCGGGTGTAGGGCGCGTAGAGCGGGTTTTTGAACGAGAGGATGACATCGTAGCCGGTCAGGATGTTTGTGAGTTTCCCGTCGAGGACCGCAACGGGGGCTTCGTTGAGGTGTTTCACGAGCAGATCAACACGATCTCGAATGTCTTGCCAATTCGTATCCGACGGCCGACTCAGCGCGCATTTCTCCTTAGCTTCAAAGCAAGTCTCGTAAAAGTAGTCGACAAGCTTCTCCGTGTCTTGCAGGTTAGTCTTCCAGCCCTGGTCACACGTGTGTTAGCCGCAAGTGTAGAAGTGAAGTGGAATATGAGTACACCCCTACCCCTGCCATGTAGTCATTTGCGTCTGCGATGCCATCAACAATGAGCCGGCCCACGCGTCCGGGGTACATGGAGGCAAATGCATTGCCGAGAATGCTGCCATAAGAGAAGCCCCAGTACTGAATCCGCGGCACCTCCTTAACCTTCCTGAGCTCCAGCGACTGCTCGGGTTGTGAGGCAGCTTCTTCCTTGCGAAGCTCCTCAATCTTGTCCACCATCTCGACCATGTCGCGGCAGACGGACGCCGTCGTGGCAAATGGGATGATGGAGCCGTTGCCGGGCTTCTCAGTACAGAGCCTGCCGTACCCCTGAATCCTCGCCCACTGCCTCCTCAATGCATCCGGGCTGGCATCAAGCGGTCCGATGGCCAAACGCTGGATGCTGTCCGTGTCTCTTGCGAGTTCATCCTCATAGCAATCGGCCACTGGCGTGGTAAATTGCACGCCGCGCGGGTCCCAGCTAAGCATCTCGTACTTTTTGCTGCCGCCGCTCAGCGTGCGGCGCATGTCGTGGCCATTGCGGAGCAACAGACTCACGCCGGAGCCGCCAGGCCCGCCCGGGTTCGTGAAGACTGTGCCCCCGAATGACGGATCGTCGTCGGGGACGGAGGCGGGGAGCTTGATGATTGCGAGAGCGACAGTGTGCTCATTAGTCTCGTCGAGCCAGTCGAGGGGAACAGAAAGGCGGGCGCATTGGTAGTCGTCATAGCATGGGTGGTATTCCAGCTTGTGTGAGGGCGTGATGGTCTCCCAGTCAAAGTCGGTCATTTTGGGAGGGTCGCGGCCTTTGGCGCTGGCAAGGCCGACGAAACCTGTGATGGCGGCTAGACTGATTGATGACCTCATCGCGTTCGTACTGATCAAGACTGCTACGAAGTAGTTGTTTTGCGATGGTCTTCAGGAGTATCTTGATGCAGAAGAGTTGACGTTGTCGTCAATGGGTGACGGGTGACGGGTGACGGGAAGATGACCTCGGGAAAGTGAAAGCGCGTCGGTCGTGGCTTCCACCATGCGCGTTGCTGCTGCCAATCACTTCGCGCGCTTTCTTTTATCTTCAACTCAAGGATACGGAAAGCGCCGGGCGGCAAGATTGAGTTAAAGATGAATGACTTGAGATGAGGGGAAACTTTCAGGATGAGAATGAGATGAGCAGCCGAACAGCGTTTGCTGCGTCAGCATGGCCTGCCTGTAAGCGCGGCACGCAATGATCCCGTCTTACGCATTTTTGTTCAGCAGAACACCACATACCAGACGCCGCCATGCAGAATAGGGAAGGTGAAAACACACACCGCGATATTGGCGAGATTAGTCGAATCATTTGGACAACTCAGGTGAGAAATAAATATACTATTACAAGTCAAATCCTGTGGAGATACATCGACAATTATGAAAATACCGTGACACCTGCTCCTTGAAATCTCATATATATCCACCCATTACTCCGTAATAACTCACTCATCCGCTCACGCAGTCTCACTCAACATCAAGCTTTCACATACGATGACAGCCGAATGAGCGATGATCCCATCCCGGTGCTGCTCGCCCACTGACGATGAGCATCCTGAATATCCTCGAGCTCCCAAACTTTCTTAATAGGAACGGTAACCTTGCCCTCAGCCACCAGCTCCATCAAGGCCCTCAAATTGGGCTCAAACGTCGCGTCGTCGCGCGTAATGTAGTAGAATTTGGTCCTCTTACCGCAAAACGGCACCATCCCGCGCGCCATAAGCTTCATCGTCGGTAAAATCACAGAGCCATGCTCCGTATCGTCGTTTAGCGAGCGCAGATTGCCGCCGTACCCGACCAGGATACCAGTGGGCGACAGAACCGAAAAGGACTCATCCCAGCTCTCGAACCCGAGGGGATCGAACACGGCGTCCGCCCCGCCGAGCTCCTTCACCGCTTGGATCCAATTCTTGTCCGTGTACACGAACGGATGGGCCCCCTGCTCCCGAGCGGCCGCATGGTTCCGCTCCGATGCCGTGCCGTAGACCTCGGCACCCTGTAGTTGGCATAGTTTCATGAGGGCGTAGCCGACGGCCCCGCTGATGCCGTGGATGAAGACGCGTTGCCCTTTGCTGACTTTGGCGACGTCAAAGACCATAGCGTACGCTGTGTTCCAGTCTAGGATCAGGGCTGTGGCCTGCTGCAGGTCGGTGCCGGCGGGCACTCTGATGAGGTACTTTTCAGGCAGGTTGACCAGCTCTGCTTCGGCGTCGTAAATTGTGAGACAGGCGACGAGGTCGCCCGGTGAGAGCTTGGATGTGCACCCGGGGCCGTTGGTCTTGACGGTGCCGACAAGGCAGTAGCCCGGTGTCAGTGGGGCCTTCTTCTGCATGGGGTACACGCCTTTGCGCATGTTGATGTCGGCGCCTGAGAAGCCGGAGTAGATGGTTGAGACTTGGACGTGGTTGGCCGGGGGCGACTCGATCGTGTCTTGGATGATTTGAACCTTGGAGACGTCGCCAAACTCCGTGATGACGGCCTTGCGGATGGTGGTTGCAGACATACTGGATACGACTGCCTGGGATGGAAGCTGATTTGAAAAGGTTTGGAATGTGATGAATGTCTTTATTGATGATCTTGTAGTCTTGTTTCTAAGATCACAACTTCTGGCCGTTCCCTCATTCATTACTTATACTGGATCTTCATCATCTCTAGCCGTTATGAAAATACGCTTCCTAGGCTACATCTTTCGCAATGCGACTCGGCGCCGTGAGATTGAGGGCTGGCGTCGCGGATGACGCCTCATGGGGGTCTGTTGTGCCGACATCTTCACCAAGCGGCCGTTGCTCCCCCCACTAAGGGCGCCACGGTGAGCTTGATTTCACCGCTCGACGGAGCAACTCCAGCAAGATGCGTATGTGGCCTGGAGATTCATGCGACAGTACGATTGGAGGCTGGTGCGAAGGATGAGAAGGCTTGCTGCAGGGAGGGCTTCTCAGAGAGGAGTTGTGCCGACCAACAGCGCTAATACCCTATTTAGCTTTCGTACGTTTCACTGGCGCATCCTTCGCGAGTGTCGCTCTCGCTCGGGCTGACATTGGACCGCCTCGCTCCCCTCGCTCTTACGCGGCGCCACAGGAGACGGAGGGACTCGCCTTTGCTGGATACAGTCATGTCTTACCAGGGGTAGCAAGCCACAACGGATCGGAGCAATGTGTTGCTGCCCTCTATGGGAGCAAGTCTGACTATGGCCTCTGACGCTGACAAGCGTCAACGTTTATGCTCACTCAGCCTCAGCATCCATACAATTCAAGCCACATGGCAATGTTGGATGAGCTGCTAAATCCCCCGTTTCATAATGTTTTCTCCTGGATGCCGCGTGCATGAAGCTGACAGATACCACATAAGCTCCAATCAACCACCAACACGCCAGAGGCATGATGCTCCACGGCGCATATCTCAACTCGCAGCTGCTACTGGACTTTTATTTTGACCGGATCACCCAAACACCAGCTACCATGGTGCTGAGTCGAGGTAGATGAATTTCACTCATTTTGTAGTTGCAAAGCTTAGCGTTGATGGTATATGCAAATGTCGCAGAAGATTTCCAGCCGGGCTCCGTTTGAGCTCCTTCTCCAGGAGAACCTGTTGAAATCACGGAGCCGCTGCAACTGAATCCTGTCATCGTCAACATAAAATGAGCACATGCATATTCACATGACAGGCGGCGAGGAGCAAGATGTTACTTCATAAGAGTGTGATATTGAAAAAGATTACTTGTCGGGTCCCCCTTTCTGGAGGCCGGCCCATGCGATTAAGTACATTTATCGAGTCCAACCAAGGAAGATTGAAACACATTGGTTTTAGCAGGTCCTGGACATGCGGATAAGGGGTATGATGAGTCCGCAATGCCTGGTCCCTGCCGAATGGCTAGAAACACATGACGAGAATTTGGTCCATACGGACTTTGGGTTGTCCCAGGGTGATCAAAGGTAGAACGATTTCGTTTAGAAGACGTTGCCCTTGGTCTGGGTACCCTTCTCGCTCTCGACCTTCTTGATGTTGATGTGCTTCCAGAGGAGGATGGAGCCGAGGCAGAGGGGAACCAAGCAGGAACCAGCAATGACCATCTTGTGCTGCACATCAGCGTACGCGGCAACAATGGCGTCGCGAATGGGGTCGCCGTCCTCGAAGGACATCTGGATCGTGACGTCGCCGAAGATCTCGGCGGTCCTGTTCTTGGCGTAGTCGGGGAGGTTGTTGTACAGCTCCTTGGGCATGATGTTGTTCCACAGGCCACCGGCGATGGCGAAACCAATGGAAGAGCCGATACCACCGAACAGAGAGTAGATGGCCATGGCGGAGGCGATCTCCTGGTGGGTGACGACGGCCATGACGGCGATCTGACCGCAGGCGGCGAAGAGACCGGTACCGATACCGTTGAGCATCTGCATGACGACCAGGGCACCAACGGGGGTGCTGGGCTTACGGAGGGGAATCAGGAGAGCGGTACCCAGAAGCATGAAGGGAACACCAGCGAGCGCGGTGTACTTGTAGTCACCAGTCCATCTAATGATCAGTCCGTAGACGGGACCGAAGAAAGAGGAGGTGAGAGAGAAGGCGTTCAGGATGTATCCGGCGTAGGTAATGCTCTGTCTGTGGACGACCAGAAGGTAAGACTGGTAGTAGGTATCCCAGGTGAAGATGGAGATGAACATGATTCCGTAAAGGAGGAAGGCACCAATCAGAGTCGGCTCCTTGAGATACTTGTAGTCGATGAAGCTGACAGGGGCGAGGTACTTCTCCCAGACGTAGATGATTGGGATGAGGACGACTCCGATAACCTCCATGGCAATGATGTAGCCGGTCTTCCATCCGTTAGGGGCGTAGGAGACGATGTTGAAGGGCAGCATAATCATGGAGAACATGCCGATGATGAGGACGATACACATGACTGTTGGGAAAAAAAATTGTTAGCGCCTAGTTTCGCGAATTGTCCAATCATTAGGAACGGAAAACTTACTATCGAACTGAATTAAGTAGTAAATGAAGCCCTGGAGGTAAGAGCGATCGTTGGACTTAGCCTTGGCCAAGAGACCAGCCTTCTCAGCCTTGCGCTGCATGAGCAGCATGATGGTCAGGGCGGGAATGCAGACACCAGCAAGAATGATGGCGAAGGCACCGAAGGCCCAGCGGAAGTTAAGGTTGGTGTAGAAGAGGTCGGCGATCTTGGGGCCGGCGAAGGTGACGGCAATGGTAGGGGTACCGTTGATACCGAACATGATCATACGGTTTTGCAGGGAAGTCATATCGGCGATCATGATGTCAATGACGAACAGCATACCAAAGTGACCGACGTAGTAGATGGTGTGGGCGGCAACGTAGGTCTCCATGTTCTTGCAGGTAGCCTTCATGATCATACCAATGACGGAGCACAGGATCATGATGGCGAAACCCTCAGAACGTCCCCAAACGTCGATGATCTTGGCAATGACCAGCTGGCAGCATCCTGACAGGATAGTAGCGAAGATACTGACGATGGCCAGGAGACCGTGCTTTCCGAAGGAGGATGTGACGAAGGCGTTCAGGGAGCCCTGAACGGACTGCAGAAGTAAATCGGCGAAGGAGACGAGGTAGAGCCTTTTCGAATCGAAGATGTCAGTGGTTTGCTTCGGAGACATTCTAGAATGCCTAGCTGCGCATTGGGGAAAACTTACAAGCAGAACATGATGATCATGGTCTTCTTGGTCCAGACAGAGGTGATGGCTCTGACACGCTGAACACCACCCTGGAAGTTCTCGCTCTCGGCGTCAGACTCCTGCTTGGTGTCATGGTTGACCTCCTGGACGCCATTGTCGTAGGCAATGTTCTTCTCATAGTCGACGCCCGCCTCTGTGCGGTGGGCCGCATTCTGCGGCTCGATGATGGTAGCCATTGTTGATTATCGGTCGCAAGAGAAGGCGACGAGGTGCCACAGTGAAAAACCCAACGAACAGGGTTTTCAAGAGGGTGGAAATGGGGAAGCTGTTGGCAAGAAGGAATAGTATATTGAAGGCGAATGCCTGTTGACCTTGCTTGAAGAACCAAGAGGAAGAAGGAGAAAACTCAGATCGAGGACACGAGGTTCTATGCGGGCCTTTGTATATTGCGCAGATGGACCCCCAGTTCCAACATCCATGAAAATCTCCAGCCGATGTCGCCCAATCTTTGCCTTTATCAGATGATCAGATTAGATGGCAAGGGGCGAATCAAACCTTGGGGCCCATCGGAGGTATGGTTAGGTTCGTGCTAGCGTAGTGGGATCGCCCAGGCCGGACAGCTCTAGGTCGGAGGCCGCGTAGCTGGCTAGGCCCTCATTGCGACTCCGTCCTGTGGAATGCCCAGGTGAATGGATCGTTATGGATGGGCGGTTTAGACCGGAAAGTGAAGGGATCAGCGAATCCGTTGGTTCAGCGGCCATCATTAGCAGCAAAACTTCGAGAAGAAAAGTGGCGTGAAAGGGTGTGAAGGCCCTGAAGCAGGTGGAAGGGTCTGTCTCTGCAACTCTGGTATTCGGAGGGCTCCATGATCCATCGTGTCTGGTCGGGCCGCCAACGTGGTGGTGGGGGTGGAGCGAGTGGTTTCTGGTTCCTGGTCACTCACATCTCACCAGAATATCTCCAAGTCTCCAATTGCTACAGCCTACTTGTGACTTGCTGCTGCATGTGGCCGCCGTGTTCCAAGGACGACGTTGCAACAAGTGGATGCGCGGGAGTAACCCTCCTCTCCAGATGCCATCTCCAGCCTGCTTCACATGCCTTGGGAGCTTGTACGCACCCTCCACGAAGCTCTTCGTGCTGTGAATGCTTGAGCCGTCGAACGCCTCCCGAACAGCTTGCCAGTCCAGTACCCGTCCCATCTTACCGCGAGGCAAGCTTCTCTAGCTAATAGCTCTCTCGATTTTCTTCAGGTTTGCGGCACAGCCGTTGGTGGCAGAAAAGGTTTTCTTTTTTCCCTCAACACTTGGCAGTGCAGGGAGCATCGCTGAAAATATGGGTGCAAAAAACCATACCAAGCAAGGGACCATCTCCCACATATCCGTAAGCTAAGCCAAACCCCCACTTTCAAGCGGGCTCATTATCCCTGAACGATCGAATGGTCATATCCCGTCGGTCAGTGCTGGAGTGACACCACAAGGATCCTTGCAGAAGTAGTCTGTCACCTCAATGTGGCCAATCAATAGCTGTTCCCGTGAAGAGAAATCCAAAAACTCGGCGCCATCCATGCAAACAAGGTGTGCCAGGACGCACATCGCGGCAAGTGGGATCGAGCAGTGAGCAGTGCGAGCCAAGGCGGTGATGGTGTCCTCGGTCTCACTCTGTTTTTTTTTCGCCTCCTGCCCGTCTAACCATCTGTCTAGGTAGTGATGAGCACCCATAGTGGACTAGATTCGAAAACGAGGCCCTATGGGACCATGCGATGATCTGCTGGTGTCTTGGTCCGTAGGCTTGGCTTTTTCCCGGAGGGAAGGTTATCATGTACCTCGGGCCACATCAGGGCCATTCCGCCGATCACGGGCCACGGTCGGCGAGGAACGGGAACGGCTGCTGCGTCCGACTTATTGCCAGGACTCCGGCATGATGAGCCGTTAATTGCTGTGCCGTTATCCATCTCGAGTGAACCCCCAATCGTCGAGTCATAGAGGACATCGTGATGGTGGGTTGAGTGCAGCTGACGTGGCGCGTTATGTGTCTGAAATCTCTGGTGTGGCTGTTCAGTTGGTCTGAGTTATTTCGAACTACGCTTTCAATAAAACGGAATTTTCTATGTGTCAAAAAGGCTGGTTGGCGCCAAAGCGACACGAAAAAGTCTCCACGATCGGACATCGTCGCGGACGACAAGCGATATTGAGTCTCTCAGCCGTCAATGCAAAACCTGAACGCCAACAGGGGCGCGCTGACCGACCAGGACAATTGCCCAAATGCTCACTGGCCCGTATCGATAGCGGCGGCAGTTCTCGACTGACACCTGAGCGATGTGGGTTTATGGAAACGTCCTTCGACAGGTCAGAAGTACGAACCAACCGAGCAAGGTACTGGAAAGGGAAAATACCCCGAACGGCCAGTCCCCGAAAAAAGACTCATAGAACACGACAAGAAAAGCTGAGTTTCCAGGCATTCTTGGCCGAATCCGACTCAGAAGGAAAGGAAAACTCATTTAGTATTGCCACAAGCGCCCCAGGCGGTTGTCTCGTAACTTCAACTATGACTGGATCGGAGGTAATGTACATCGCCGTCAAATGTCGGTGTTATCACGACCTGCTCCGAGGGAAAGTCCTCACGAGCCCACTGACTCAAGGGAACAAAGACGGCACAGCACCCCGACTTGACAACCATCGAAATCATCTTTCAGTCTCACACGCCAGACCATTACGACGCTGGGTCAAAACGATTTTCGAGAAGCCGCAATAGACGAGTTGCAGACGACAATTTCGAGTTGCTCAGTGATGGTTCGACTGCTCTCCTAGACTTGGACCGTCAGCCCGCGACAATTGCAAACCCTCTCGCTTAGACTTTCCACGCTCTCGGCTGAACTACAACGAACGAGGTCCAACAACGAATAGGCGTGTCAATCCGAATCGAGCTCCGCCAAGGGGCATCTAGTCCATTTTCAACTTCCCAGCCGCAAACTTTCAGCCGGTCATCTAACAGCAGGTTGCAGCGCCGCAATTTTTGGTCTCCTCAACATTGATCATGTCGAGCAGATTTCTAGACCGTCCATCAACGTCTCTGACATTGTCGAAGCACGACCGGATAACGATGGCTTTCCTCGGAGTTCCGGATGGAAAACACCTATCGGCAACCGTCAGCATTTGGATGAGCCCCAGTCTGGAAAGCCATTGTTCATTGACCCTGGATTATGTCTTGCTTGAAATTCACTAACGCAAGCAAAAAACTAAGCCTTGCTCGGGGAAGGAACTCATTGTGAATTCCAAGTTGCGTAGTCTTGTTGAAGTGAAAATTTGTCTTATCTCTTGCCAAAGTCCTTTTTCCAACTCCTCGAGAGAAAGCCACAGCCACCAATTTGCAGTCCTACTGGGTGTATCATCTCAGAATCGAACAAAGCGTACCTGCCAACCTAGCTCCGTTCCTCGTCCTGATTCCATGAATAAGAAAATTTTCACGATGCAACTAGGTCTCCCAGCACATACAGAGACGGAGAGGCAAGATAGTACGGACTTGGGGCTTATTGTACACGCCGAGAGACCAATCGCTGGAAAGATCACGTCAACAACATCTCGGCCGAGAAGAAGACGAACGACGTTATACCAAAATTGTCAAGAATTATAGCCTTTTCTATCATATGGACATCAAAGAGTTACTAGTAGGGTACTGTGGGAAGTTTGGTATTGGTATTTGGAGTACCTGATCAAACAGGGTTTGCTCTAAGCATAAGTCGCTGGACCATTCGTAGAAGTTCTGAGTTCACCATGCCTTTGGCAACTTCAGTATGGTGACGACCGCAGTCTGCTATGCTCGATGCTGGGAAGAGCCTAGGTCCAAGCATGAAATGCCTGGTACTAGTGTAGGGGGCACATGCATTCTCGACAGATTTCGAAACATGGCAGATGTTCAAAGCGAGATAACGAACTGATTAAACCTTCAAGAGTTACTCAACTTGATGAAAGATCATGATCTGTAACTTCGAACAGCCGTGCCTCTCGGAATTATCGCGATCTGAAAATATTTTTTTGCAGAACCTTTGATGAAGCCAATAAGAGCCGAGAGACATCTTGAACCAAAGTCCCGATGGGCTACCAAAGTACAGCCTAGATCGGAACCGCAGTACGCAGGGACCTGCAAGGCTCGCAGCAGCAGGATCAGAGCCAACTTCCCTCTCGCCTAATTTTTCTTGGCATCTGCTGTTAGTGAATAAGTGAGCCTACTACTAAATTACTAATAGCCGAAAACTCTTTACCTCCCATTGCCGGAGCCTATATCCGTAATAGCCTTATAGCCGCCGTCGGGTACCGGACTAATATCGGCCAATTAAGCCGACCCTAAATTAGGCTCCGGGATACCTCTAGAGCCGAACCCTACCTTAAGAGCTAAGCGACGCCGCAATACCGAGGCATAGCTAACCCGGCCTAGCTTAACGGGAAGCTAGTTTAATATTATTACCGACGCCCCTATTTTGGCCGAGGGGCCTATAGCTTCTACCGTATTTATTCCGAGCGGATCTATTATAAGGTCTATCTTAATAACCTTTATAAAAGAAGCTAGATAATATGAGGTACGGAAAGACGTTTTTTTAATTATTATATAGTCCGTCGATAACGTTATTATTAACTTTAACGGTTTTAGAAAGTAGATTACGAAAGAAGCTATTACCTATATTATTTAAACTTTTAAGAGACTAATTAATTATAAGATAAGCCTAATAGCGGCCTGGAATTAGGCGGCTATTATCGCACCGATAGTAGGTAACACTATTGCGGCGACCCGGAGCGGCTAGAGCTATTAAAGCTCTACCTACCCGAAGGCTATACTCCCTACCAAGGATCAGCCATAGGCGTAGCTAAAGGAGGACTTCTATATCTTTACCCATATCCCGGAAGAAAGCTTAGTAGCCGTTTGGAAGATCGTACCGTTTATTATATAATAGATCGTTTATAAGGCTATTAGCCTAGGGCTAGTAGACCTTCTTTACGTTTATTATATTAGTATAGGTTACTCTTTAAAGCTATAAAATAAATAAATATAAAAAAGACTATTTATAAGTAAGGTAAAGTTAGCAGAATACCTCGGTGCCTACTAGGTCGAGATACCTATTAAGTAGTATATTTACGTTATACCGCGATACCTAATAAAACTATATAATATTAGCGGGGACGTCCTGGACCTAGCTATACTTGTTAAAGATAAGGTCTTTGTATAGATAGGATAGAAGCCTATCCTTGCTCGACCGTCCTGCCTTAGGCCTAACTTAATTACGAACGAAATATTTTAGCTTATATTATTAATATTAGAGGTTACGCCCTTTAGGCTCTTTAACCAAAGCGGCAGATCTCTGCCCGTTAAGAAACGAAGGACGCTTATCTAATACGACCCTAGCTACTAGGGCTACTACTTTAACCGGTTCTATAGATAATAACCGATTTATAGTAACTACGGAAGACCTTCCGATTTATATAAAACGGGACCCTATATAGCTAGGCCCTAATATGCTAACTGCTATAGCCCTTTTTAAGCTAGCTATATAGACTACTTAGCGAGGCCTTCGGCCGTAAACGGTATCGTCTCCCTTCCTAATTAAAAAGAGTAGGCTCGGATCTAGAAGGCCGGTTAAAAAATATTAGATATTCTATATAAGGCTATTCGATCTGATAGTAGCTAGGAGGCGGTAAGTATCCCTACCTCTATTAACTAGAACTAGTAACCCGGCACTAAGTATATACGTATAAGAACGCCCTCTATAAGCTCGATCGTTTGCCTTAGTAACGGAAGTATTAATAGTAATAATATAAATAAAGACGAGGCGGATGAAGGCGAGGATAAAGACTCCCTTAATAATACCTTTATCGACCGTCCTATATTACCTATACTAAATAAGAGCTAACAGGTAATATAGAAATTAAATTATAACGTTATAAATACCTATACCTACCTCGAACTCAACTTAGAGATATAAGCCAAGAATAGCGACCCCATAGATATTATATATTATATAGGGTAATATTAAAAAGATCTCCCTAGTACATACGGCTTTCCTGCAGCTCTACTAGGAGGCTTAGATAGATGTGGTCCTTATTTAGGAACCCTGGACGGGCTAGAAGGACGGAAATATATAACTAAATATATACCTAGGTTTCGACTTTTTCGTCCCGGTCGATTTCTAAGATAGTAAAGGAACTAGATTAAGAGTATTAACCTATATACGTAAAGGGATAGGGATAACGGTAAAATAATAGAGGCCTATCCATATAAGAGACATATTATAGCTAGTAGTTAATAAAACGATGATTATCGTTAATATATATAGATAACCCCGTAACCCCTATAGCCGTATAATAGGGATATTACTAGAACTTAAACCCCTAGAGCAAGCTTTGATTATAGGTAACTTTAATATGTATTATTATTCTTAGGAGCCCGGGATAAGGAACGGGAACCGGGGAGATGATATTATAGGCTAGGTAGACGGCTATAATCTTTCTTTTATTAGTAAAGTTAAGGTAATAACCTAGGATTATAGATATATCCTAGACCTAGCTTTTTTTAATATCCTTTTTATATATGCGTAGGTCAGCCTATAGTTATACCCGGGAGCTAACTATAAGGCTATCGTGGCCGTTATATTACTATTTAAACGCCTAGTGTTATAAGGAGAGGGCCACCTATAGCCACGGCTATTATTAATACCCGACTCGGCGCTACCTCGGTTAAAAGACCTAATTAAAGGGGAGCTAGCTACGATACCTAATCTAGAGGATTAACCTATTTTAATAGACCTAGACGGGTAAGTAAGTTATATCGTCAAGCTCTTTTCCCGAGCCATTAAGGCGGTCGGTAAAAAAAAAAGAAAATAGAGAAAAAGTACGGTTTAGTAAATAGAGGAATATATAGAGGCCTATAGAATATACCGTACTACCCGCAACCTATAAGCTTAAGAGATAGAGTAGAACGTAAATCCTTTTCTAATAGAAGAGCGGAAGGTATTTTTAAATATTATAAGGAAGGCTAAGCGAGTATATTAGGCCGGAAAGATCGATAGAGTTGTTTTAGACCGGGACCTTTATTAGGTTATAGGTTAGCGGAAAGCGAGCCTACTAACTAGAGCACCCTTATTAATTATGGATAACTAAACGATCGAGGATATTAATAAAAAGGCCTAAGCGCTCCGGAAAGCCCTTCTTGACAGGTTTAGTACGGAAGATAATATACCGGGTGACCTATTTAATATACCCGTCGTTCTAAGGCGAGCGATTACTTAGTAAGATAATGTTAACGGAAAAGAAGTAAAGACGGCTATTTTAATAAAGATAACGACCCTTAGTATGGACGGGATTACTATACGCCTCCTTTAGGCCTGTTAGGGCGTTATTTTAGAGCTGGTTAAGTAGTTATTTTAGTCCTATATACGGGCCGGCTACTTTTTTCTACCTTTCCGTAGAGCTAAGGTGGTCATAATCTAGAAGGCCGGTAGGGATACCTTTAAGCCTAGGTCCTGGTATCCGATCGTGCTCCTTTTGTACCTAAGTAAGGGACTCGAGAGACTAATAGCTAGAAGGATAGCGTCCTTGGCGATTATTGAGTATATTATTAGTCCGTAATAGATCGGAGCCTTATAGGATAGGTTAGCCATCGATTTAACGACCTACCTTACCTATAATATCGAAACGGCCCTTTTAAAAAGGCTTACGGCGATACTTTTAATTATAGATATAAAAGGGGCGTTCGACTCTATCCTTTAGAACTAGCTCGTTATTAGATTACGTTAGTAGGGATGGCTATATGGCTTAATTAGACTCATCTTTAGCTTTTACTATATCCGTATTATTAAAGTCCGACTAGAAAAAAGTATAATAGAATACTTTTCTCTATTATATAGGTTATTATAGGGGTCGCCTTTATCTCCTATCGTCTTTTTATTTTATATTATAGAAATACTTAAAGACGACCCGGATGTGTAATTCGGGTATATAGACAATATCGCTATTTTAACTATAAGCCCCTCCCTAGAGAGTAACGTCGTAATATTTAACCGAAGTATAGCCGGTATTCTTAAATAGGGTTTAGAGAATAAGGTCTCTTTTAACCTGAGTAAGTATAAGGTTATCTATTTTATTAAGAAATATAGTTAGCTAGCGGAGCTACTAGAGGTTAGGGCGGGGGATTTAATAGTTAAGGCCTTAATAAAACCTATACGCTAACTGAGTATCTAGTTTAATAAAAGACTGTCCTTCTAGTATTACGTCGATATAAAAGTAGCTACGGTAAAGAAGGTAGCTTAATACCTAAGGTAGCTTATAAATATAAAGAGAGGACTACTAGCGGCCGCCGTACGAAAAGCCGTTATCTCCTACGTACTACCGATCGCGCTTTTTAGTGCCGAAATATAGTATATAGGTATTACAAAGCCGGCTTCGAGATATTAAGCGGAGATAAACACGAATCCGCCTTTTTAAAAAAGACCTATTAATATAAGCTAGAAGGGGCTCGTATAGAAAATCGATAGCGTTATTATAGTGGCGGTAAGGGCCGTTCTACCTGTCTAGAGGATAATACTAACTAGTAGCCTCCTCTAAAACGCTGGCTTACCGTCAGCTAAAGTCATTTTAGAGGGCGTCCGTTTACAGGCTATAGTCCGACTATAGAGGATTAATCGCCAATACCCGCTAGTCGTATAGCTCTCCTAGTAGGGATAGTAATAAACAAAATTATAATGGACGGCTAAACTTCTATTAAGATACGGAAGATCAGCGTTCTTTTAATTATAGTATCTATTAAGTTTATAGGATTAGATAGTAGTTTAATATAAAGAAGAGGCTATAAAAGATTTTAAGCGTTAGCTAAAAATAGTACCGGAAAGCTATATAATCGTCTTTTTAAACAGCTTTAGGGCGACGAATAGAGCCGTAGGGTATAGCTTTATTATTTACCGAGACTTTAAATATATAGTATAAAGGTATAGCCGACTCGGATTAATAGAAGTGTTCGACGCCAAGGTCGAAGGAGCACAAGCCGGCCTCAAAAGGGCTCTACTTACCAATTACGGTCATCTAATTTATATATATATCGATAATACTAATGTTATATAAGGTATCTACGGCAAGGCGCCAGACTCGTTATAAGAGGCGTTCCTCAAAATCCAAGAAGTAGCTAGGATTTTTAATATACGGACGTACTAGTCTCTAGGATACTAGGGTATTAAAAGAAACGAGGCCATAGACCGGTTAGTTAAAAAAGGAACGATATTACTAGTACGGATAGGTTAAATAATAATATTAGCGGGTATTAAACGGCTTATAAAGGAAAAACTATAGGGCTATTATAAAAGATGGTAGTATAAAGAGCGAAGGCCGTAATATACGAACTTAGGGCTTAAAGTAGCTCTATTTAGCCTTCCTAAACTAGCCTTACTACAGGCTACGCTATATCACTTACTAGCAGCACGATCAGGTCATAAGGACTTCGAGTAATATCACTAACATTTTAACTATAACGATGCTTTAATAATATGCTCTTATAGAGAGGCAAAAGACGTAGACCACCTAGTCTATTATTAACTAATGCTAGTAAGAAGGTAACGGTGGCCGACCCTCCACTCTTGTAATATGCCCGAGCCTATAGGCCCTATAGGATCTCTCGAAGCCTATTTTAAGAGATTAATTACTGACCTATAAGGCTTCGAGGCCTTTCTCTATATAACGGACTTCTTTTAGAAGATCTATCTACAGTAATAATATCTATACCTATATAGATATGAGTGCGGACTATAAAGAACTTCCTGATTCTAAGGGACGATTTGGGAAAGAATGAAACTGGGGTACTAGCGGGAACCGGGGATAGATAGAACGCGTAGTGGCTATAAGGTATGATTTAGAGGACGATATAAAGAGACGACGTATTGTAGAATAGGTAGCCTTGGCTTACGGCCCTCTACGCTATATACCCTTTGGGAGGTCTGCGGTAAGGGCTCTAGCCTGGCCGCCACGGCGTTAAATACAACAACAACAACAACAACAACAGGATCAGAGCCTGGGTTAGGCCGCGATGGAGACGGGCATCAACTCCAGACCGATCTAGCACTTTTTCAATGTCTCGGACAACAGATGAGACACGTGACAATAGTGAACTCTACGATCTTTGTAGATTTGAGACTTTTGAGTCTTCTCGATGCGTTAGGTTGTTTCCGGCAAAAGCCTTCAAATCGTTGTCACAAACAGAACATCGGAAGTTGGCCGGCCTTGACGAGCAATTGAAACTTGGATGCATGTCCAAAGTTGACAGCTAAATGCACGCTGCCGTCTCATGGAGCAAACCAACGACTGTTGGAGATGACATTCTCCAGGCCTGTGCTGTGCCGTCTTGGCGCTCTGAGCTTAATGTTGACAAGAGACCCGACGGTCCATCAAGCTCCTCAAAAAGAAGGGACGAAAGCACGTAAATCCACACTTCGCCCATGGGGTTCAGGAGTTGCAGAAGTTCATCTAGCGGACGTCCAATAGCTCAACCAGAACGGCCGTACAGATGGGGTCTGCGACCTGCAGGTCTGGAGTTTCGCAGTTACCGATTTCAGGGAAAGAATTGGAGAGACGCGAGGAGGATGCATGCATGCATGCGGAATGCGGAATGGCAGTGTCGGTTGGAAGGGCCCCATGAGCGGCTAAATGTGTCAATGGTGGCCGATGATTTGACCTGTTCGAGATCGACGGACCTTGACCGCGGGTTAACGGGTTAAACCGGTACAGAGTGGGTGGAGTTGGTCGGATTTCGTTCGGGAAGAAGGGGGTAGAGTGAGACACTGGAGCTTTATCCCTCATTTTGGCCGCTGGCGTCTGCAATTTTCCCAGTCCCGCGGACCATCGATAAACCGGCTTGAAAACGTTGCTAGATCGTTGCCATTAGTGAAAACCGCTCGTCGCATCGTCGGTGGCTTGCTGTGCTGGTCTCCATCGAGCATAGTGCTAATTGTATTTTTCGAGCTGGGCAAGTCGTTGTTCATGTAATTTGTGTGAAAAGGCAGGATATTCTTTGAGATTTCTTTTTGATGATATTTTATATGTCAAAAGCACAGTAAGCAGTGAACAACAGGCAACGTTTGTTGAACCCCAAGTGATAGCTTCGCATGCATCGATCTTAATCTCGTTTGTCAATGCTTCGGAAGTTCGGCGAGGTAGAACGTCAAAATCAAATACGAAATCTCCTTTTTGAGTCGAGCAAGCTCCCCGTATCCATACTTCCAGTGCGAAATACCTCGGACCTCAAACACTGTTGGTTTGTCAGAATGGCTTAACTCGCGATAGCCGCACTTTGCCTCGACAGGAAGAAATAGCCAGAGACCGTTGACGATTGATGGAATTCATTACTACAATCGCCTCTGAATGGATGACAGCATCTAAAGAGTGGGGAAACCATCTCATCTTGAGGCCGCATCCCCGTCTCGGCGTCCCCTCCACGACTTTCTCGGCCCGGACGGCGTCAAAAGCCTTATTAGCGTTACTCCAAAAGGCCCTCGTTTAGCCCTACAAGGCTATGGATTGAGCCTCCCGCGGTCGCCGTGACCAAGGATGATGCCAACGGGGCGGAATTCCGATGCTTCTTCACCGCACCTCAAGACATGAATAGCCACATCCCTCTCATAATCGGAACCGTTTTCGTAGAGCAGTACGAACAATTACCCCCAATACAACCCGAGGTATCAGTCACGATATCAAGCTGCTTACGCCAGCGGCCGGAGTCCGGCACGGGAGATGTGGGACCCCTTCCACTTTGGCGCCGCCGAATCCCGTCTTAGACGCGGAGGCTCCGAGGTCCAAGCTTTGAGCGGGAAGGATAAAAGTCTGATTGCACCTCGTTGCATCTAATCTGATCTAATCTCGATGATCTCGTTCCAACCGTGTACTCTTTACTTCGACAACTGAATATGGCCAACGTCGAGGCGAACCAAAAGTCCGCCATCGAGGGGGCTGACATCGCGGACGTCGCGCCAGAGCCTGTGACACCGACGACATCCATTGAGGAAGCCAAGCGTTCTTCAGGTGCGATCAAATTGATTCCATTCACAAATGTTCTTCCCTGACCAAGCTTAGACGAATCTTCTGCCCCGAGTCGAGATGTCCTTTACGCCGCCGGAGTCGGCCTAAGACCCGATGATCCTACCTTGCCATGCTTGACTATTCGCATGTGGGTGATCGGTATCGGGTTCTGCCTACTAGGTAGCGGCATCAACACTTTGTACACATTCCGATTCCCATCCATCAGTCTCTCCCAGTCGGCGATCCAATTTCTAGCATACCCTGTTGGGAAAGCATGGGAGTTTGTCGTTCCCGACTGGGGTTTCAACATCATGGGTCATCGCGTCCGCCTGAACCCAGGCCCTTTCAATTACAAGGTTTGCATCATCCCTGAACGCTCTAACCCCCCGAGACCTCCTGGCGCTAACAGCCGATTATCACGTAGGAAAACATCCTGGTCTATATCATGGCCAATCTCAGCTTCTTGACCCGGTTGAGCGCCGATGTCTTGACCGAACAACGCATCTTTTACGGGCTGAAAGCGGGCTGGGGATTTGAGCTTACCGTAACACTGGCCACAATTCTTTATGGATTCGCTTTGGCTGGGTTGTGCTACGCGTTGGTTGTTGAGCCTCCGGGATTGCTATGGCCCGGCGTCCTTGGAAACACGGCTCTCAACGCCGCATTGCATACTGGCAAAAGAGAGGACGAGACTGAGTAAGTAAAATCTATTCTACATGTAACATTGTTGCTTGGTTCAGAATTAACTGGCTAATCTTACATGTACTGTAGGGCAAAATGGACGGCATCTCGCTACAAGTTCTTCATGCTCGCCTTCATTGCCTCGTTCTGCTGGTACTGGTTCCCAGACTTCATCTTCCCTGCACTGGGCTACTTCACCTGGGTCTGCTGGATTGCCCCGAACAATGCGGTTGTCAATCAGGTATTCGGCATGAAGAGTGGCATTGGTTTGCTTCCGTTCACGTTCGACTGTAAGTTAACCCCCACAGGCCTCACCCAAGACCTCGGAGAATACTTTGATTCTGATTTCAACTAGGGAGCCAAATTGCCTATATTGGTTCTCCGCTCGTTGTTCCCACATGGGCAATTCTTAATATCCTAGCGTCTTTGGTGTTCTGGATCTACATCGTCTCTCCCGCACTTTACTACTCAAACACCTGGGACTCGGCCTACTTGCCTATTCAGAGCAATTCCATCTATGATAACTTGGGAAAGACGTTTAACGTTTCCAGAGTGATCAATAAAAAGGACGACTTTACTTTTGATCCTGTCAAGTACGCCAACTACTCGGACGTACGCAAATGCCACAAATCTCTCTACCTAGTTCGTGATACAAGAGTACTGACATGCTTTGATTAGATCTACCTTCCCGTTACATATGCTCTCAACACCTTTGGTCTTTCGTTTGCCACCATTGCATCACTCTTTGTCTGGTTGTTCCTCGAGAAGCGCCGACACATTGCAGCTGCGTTCAGATCCACCCAGCTTTCTGCTCTTCTCGGAGGAAAGATCATTCCCAGACACAACCCTCAGCCAGGCTACAAGGCTGTCCCGCTTTGGTGGTACTGGATAACTGCGCTGCTTGCTCTGGGCTTTGGGATTTTTGCATGCGAATTCTACCCAGTTCAGCTTCGCTGGTATGGAGTCATTCTGTCGTTCGCAGTGTCTGCCATCTTTTTCGTTCCTGTAAGTACCTCCCCAGATCGTTTCTCGAATGGAGACGTGCTCATTCGTTGTTTCAGCTTGCGTGGGTCTATGCAACAACGAATATGAAGATTCAGATCGATATCTTCTGTCGCATCATCGCAGGATATATCTGGGAAGGCAAAGTATTGGCCAACATCTGGTTCTTCAACCTTGGCTACATCTCTGGCATCAAGGGCCTGGCGTTTGCACAGGATTTGAAATTGGGCATCTACTGCAATGTGAGTCTTTTTTGCCATTTCGCATCGGGGCCTCAGTCACTGACTAAGCTTTACTTCAGATCCCACCTCGGAAACTATTCCTCGTGCAGTCAGTAGGCCTTGTCATCGGTTCTCTGGGCCAAGTCTCCGTTCTCAACTGGGCTCTCAACCACATCCCAGGTATCTGCTCCACCGATGCCCCCAACGGCTTCACGTGCCCGTTCTCTCGCACTCACTTCAACACCAGCATGGTGTGGGGTGCTCTCGGTCCTCGCCGCTTCTTCGCTGATGGCGCGATGTACCGCTCGCTGCTATGGTTCTTCCTCGTCGGCGCCGTCCTGCCCGTGGTCGTCTACGTGGTGAGAAAGAGAGTTTTCCCCGAGGCCAAGTGGCTGAAGAAGGTCCACGTCCCGCTCTTCCTCGGCGGGCTCAACTACATCCCTCCGGCGTCCGGAACCAACTATGGTAGCTGGGCGATTGTGGGCCTCGTCTTCGGTTTGCTCATCAAGAGAAGGCAGACGACTTGGTGGAGACGATACAACTTCGTTCTCAGTTCAGCCCTGGACTGCTCAGTTGCCATTGCTGGAATCTTTATCTTCTTCGCTATTTTTTACACTGGTGCTTCCAAAAAGCTCAGCTGGTGGGGTACCGAAGTTCATAAAGTAAGTCAATGACGGCTTGCGACAATCGTTTGGACAGCACGCTAACCATGATATCACACAGGATACCTGTGACTGGAAGAGTTGCACTTACATCAGCCGAAGCGCTCATAAGAGTGCCTAGCATCGGGTAGCTCATGTCAATTGAAGTTACGTGTATATTTGGAGCCGGGCACGCGACAAGCATGCGGCGCGCTTCTGTGCTGGTGGGAGATCCGCAGCGTTAGTGGCTAACCGGGGATACGGAAAGTTCGGGCGCATCTTCGCATTTAGATACCATGTTAGACTTTAATCACTCGTAGTTGGAACGTATATTCTAAATACCGGCTTATTTGGCGATGAGAGCCTGTGGAGCCCGCTCTGAACGTGACTCTGTTGACAAGTCCCGGGACGGAGCTGCCCATGATCGTAGTTACTATGTCTCGGAAAATATTGGTTGGAAATTGATGAAAGTTCGTTAATGTTCGTAATTGTCACTTTGGCACTCTTTTGGTGGACACTATGCTGACGGAACACGCCCGGATTTAAGGCTTACTGCGTCTGTCAGTGTAACCTAAACCACCGGTTTCCGGTTGAGTGGACAAATTGCGGCGGACAGAGGCTTGGCCGGCTGAGTAATACAGCAGAGCAGGCAGCAGTCTGCCCCGACCGTTCGACCGTATCTGCGGTCCCCGGACGGCATTTTCACACGTCGGCCGGGAGCCTGCGGATTTTCTGCGCATCTCTCCGCTAGTTTGCATTCCTGCTGTCTCACACCATGGATATTGTACGCTCCGCAAGTCCGCTACCGTGGCTTAAGGAATTGAGGTCCTCCTCTGTGTTGGGGCCCACTGACCTCATAAGACAGTTCCTACTAGCAGTACGAGTCAAGTTTCATGGGGGTTACAGTGTAGCCAGGTCGCCGAGTGAATCATGCTCCGCAAACATTTGTAAGCGGGGTCCGAACTCTAGGCGCAACCACGGGAGCCGATGGGATGAAGACAGTAACCTTCGAAGGTTTCGAATGTGGTCGTGGCCTTTACTATGACCCCCCGCGATCTCTATAAAGGTAGTTGACGCCAACTGCAGTTGACCTACATTTTTTGCTACAATCTCTAAGAACCTTTCGGTAAACAAACAACAAGATGACTACTTTCACTAACCCCGTGATCCCAACGGGCTCCACCATTCTCGTTACTGGCGCCAATGGATTTATCGCATCGCACGTAGCCGATCAATTCATCAAGAAAGGCTACAAGGTCCGCGGTACTGTTAGAGACACCGAGAAGAGCAGTTGGCTCAATGCCTACTTCGACAAAACCTACGGCAAAGGCCACTTTGAACTTGTCTCGGTGCCCGATATGCTTGTCGAAAATGCTTACGACGAAGTTGTGAAGGGTTGTATCTCGTGCTCTTGCTAGAGGATCATTGTAACAGCATGCTGATACCTGCCAGGTGTCTCGGCTCTCATCCACACAGCATCCGTAGTCAGCTTCGACCCAGACCCAAACAAGGTCATTCCGATTGCGGTAGACAGCGCCTTGGTTGCCCTCAAGGCTTCTTACAAGGAGACAAGCGTGAAGCGCTTCGTACTGACTTCGTCATCATCGACAACCTTGGCTGCAAATCCCGAGACTTTCATGAAGATGAAGGGCGCTATTGTGACCGAAGACACTTGGAGTCCTGACGCGAAAGAATTGGCCTGGACGCCGGGCCCGTGGGGTCCTGAGCATGGCGCTTTCGTCTACGTTGCCAGCAAGGTTGAACAGGAACAAGCCGTTTGGAAGTATCACGAGGAGAACAAATCCAAACGCCCTGACCTTGTCGTCAACTCTGGTGAGGAGGACCTGCCTTTTTATGCTCCTGCGCCTTTTGAATTCGAATGTTAACGAGACATCATAGTCCTGCCAAGCATGAACTTGGGAAAGAGTCTCGATGTTGTGAACCAAGGACACAGGTCTACTTCGGGTTTCATTCTTCCTTTTCTCGAGGGACAGAGAATGCCTCCTTACCTGAGCCACCCCCGTGAGTGCTGATAGTGAACATTTGACAGCCGGCACGTCATGACTAACCTCGTACTAGAGTATTACGTCGATGTACAGGATGACGCTATCCTGCACGTCGCTGCAGCTATCTTGCCCGATGTCAAGAGCGAGCGTATCTTCGGTTTCGCCCAGTCTTTCTGTTGGGATGATATCCTCAAGATCTTGCGCAAGCAGCACCCGGGAAAGAGCATCCATGAAGATTTCGCCAGCGAGCCTTTCCCAGTTATCATCAAGCCTGTAGACCGCGCTGAGGCACTGTTGAAGAGGCTTGGAAAGCCTGGGTGGACTTCCCTTGAGGACAGCTTGCGGATGAACACGGAAGATCTCAAGGCCGAAATCTCTGCATGAACACGATCTTTGCAGACAAGCTCATGTTTGGGTGACAAGGTTGATCGATGAGCGAGCTGGAATGAATAAATTCACAGTTACCTAGAATGAATGCCTGGAGCTGAAAGTTCACTTTTGTGTCAACCAATGAGGTGAAGTACCAGTCAATAAGCTGCAAGCTACCCTCAAGCTGTGCATTTTATCTATTTTTACAGCAATTTACCCCGCACAAGCGCCGGCTGCTGCCTGGTCTCGAGGATAGTGTAATCAGATTGCAGAATCAACCAAAGAGCACATGGGTCAAGCCGAACGGCGAGTTCTTTCTACTACACAACACAATTCATATCATATTTCTCGCCATACACTCACAGACAGCACATAGACGATCTGATTAAGTCTGCAATTCACAAAGCCATGGCGAAAATGAATCCATGCGACATTTGCCGGCATTTTATCAAATTTACCGCTTGTCTGAAGTCCCCTTTCAAGTTCCAAACACCATGGCTTGTATGGAAGCAAGAAACCAAAGACCTTTTCATCTCCAAACAAGACTGCCCGTTGTGCGCAGCTCTTTGGGAACTGCCAATCGAAAACAGCCTGAACAAGGCTAGAGAGCGTTTCGTGGGTGTCACAACCGAAAGCTCGCATCCCATTTCTCTAAAGGTGCTGGAGGTGAACAACACGGGTCGGATTCTCTGGGCAAGCCTTGAGGTTTCTTTAGAAATCGAACGGGATAATTTTGTATATCTCTCGCGGGTATCAATGGGGATTTCGCCACAGGATGTCAATGATCGTAAGTCTTTACTTATGTGACAAGCAGATGGCTGGAATCTGTCAACTCACTTTTGGCCATAGCAAATCCTCACCCGCATTTTTGGACTTCGGGTCGAACACATCCATTTCAAACTTTGGCAGAAGACAGAGTACTATGCGTAAAGACGTGGTTGAATACTTGTGAGAGCACACATGGTAGCTACTGCCAACCACGCAAGGGGAAATTACCCAAACGGTTCATTGACACAAGACCGGGCCAGCCTTTACGCCTGGTGTCTACTACTAGTGAAGTGTTCCAGCAGGTCTCCGACTCTGTGCGCTATGCGACATTGAGCTACTGCTGGGGAGCCTCGATTCCATTGAGAACTACGAAAGTCACGGAAGAAGACTTTGGCGTTTCTATACCTGAGAATCGTCTTCCAAGAACTTTCCGACACGCGATAAGAATCGTCCGCTCTCTAGGTATCCGATATCTGTGGATCGACTCATTGTGTATAATACAAGACGACCAGGCAGAGTGGGAGCTAGAAGCTTCACGAATGGGGGACTTCTACGCTGGAAGTATCATCACCATAGCAGCGAGCTACGCGTTAGACAGCGAAGGAGGGTGTTTCCCAGGCGACGATGATAGTATGGAGGCGGTTGTAAATGACAAAGACTCAGGCCAACTAGAGACTGCCAATCCTGAACGTACATCAGGAGCCGAGACAGATCCTACAGTCCGGATATTTGCTTACAAGGAAGAGGACCTGAACGATTCCTCCCAACCTTTCTCCTCCACGATGATACGCTTTCAATCTCTTGACCCCCGCAAAATTCCCCAGCATGCACATCTCAGCACACGAGGATGGGCTCTCCAAGAACGAATCTTGTCACGGAGGATTATTCAATGTCTGAATTCGGAAGTTCACTGGCAGTGTCAATATTGGTACCAAACTCAAGCTGTTCAGACCTTCGAGGTCCCTCACTCCACGGCAAGTGATTCGACTTACCCAATTTCGCAAATTTCTCAATGGTGGCCTGGGTGGATCGAAGACTACTCCCAGCGAGACTTCACTATTGCCTCCGACCGGCTACAAGCTTTCGCTGGGATTAGCAATCATTACGCTGATTTGGCATCCAGTAAGCCGATTCTCGGAGTCTGCCCAGGTAATCTTGCCCGAGACCTTGCCTGGATCAGAGATGGCCTACAAAAAGGCCCTGGAGTGCCGGGCGCACCTTCTTGGACTTGGTTCTCTTGCAACGCCCCGATTATGATGGACGATTGGGGCTTCAACCTGAATCGTCGCTTCAAGGTCTCAAATGATGTGAACTTGGTCTCTTTTGGCATCGAGTGGAAAGGAATACCGATGACGTCCCAGATTCAGTCTTGCCATCTTATCATATGTGGCGTTATCAAAGAACTTGCAGTCCGCATACCGCCCGAGGCCATGATTTACAATCCCCCATATATGCTGATCGAAGACGAAGAGACCGATTTCTCGAAGGGGCCAATACCATGGACCTGCTCAGGACGATTTGACGATCCCAAACACCCGACAGATTCGAGATCTCCATACACTTGCTTGCTTCTTAGGACGAGGACGGTCAATGAGGGCCAAGATGGCACGTTTATCATTGAGACGTTTCTGATTCTCTCCTCTGAGAATGGGCCACTGGTAAGGTCGATTGAGCACAAGAGGTTCCGACGCATCGGAATCGCGTCTTTCAGAGGAAAGGAGAAAATCTTTCCAGACAATATCGAAAGAAAAACGGTGTTTCTCATGTAGGCACAGGAGTCTTGAGGAAAAAAAGTTCCTTGAGCCCCTCGAGTTAAAGCATGGGAGAGCCGAAGGACGGGAATATCTATCGATCTCATGTGTCATTGGTAGTATTGAACCAGCTTTGTTGAAACTTGTTTCTGGCGAATGAATATCGCACATGTGGCACATGCTGCACAGGAAATCCTCTCCCTGCCCCATGCAGTTCGTACCCTTCAGTACCAAGACCCTTTACTCTGTACACTCATTCCTATCAAAACTCGTGAGTGAAGTCGGGTAAGCTGTAGCATAGGCACACCAGCACGGCAGACACAAGTCAGTGCCGTAGTGAGGAATGAAAAGACGGCAGCTCCCGGCGTTCCGTTTCGAAGTAGAGAATCATCAGTCTCTTGAAGACGAGATGGCGCTTGGAATCTTCGTTGAACAATCCTCGCTCAGTTTGTGAAGATGCTCCAGGAAATGCTCCACCTAAAGCCGCTTGCGAGCCCTGGGATGCCCCAAGTGTAGCGTCGGCAACGGCCCGCCGGCTTTGGCCCACTTTCGGCCGCCGCAGGACCGATTCTGAAGCCTGCCGGACCTTACTACGTACTCCTTAAAGCGACCGCATTTTTCGTGCAATGTTTCCAGGAGATGTGGTTTGGTAATGGGTCTCCGTTGTCTAACTTTCCTGATGTCCACCAAGTCTCTGTCGTATTATCCCACAGTGCTTTCTTCAATCAATCACCCAGTCTGAGTCTGACGGAACTATCCCATCAACTACGGAATGGCGTCGGTACGTATATACTTACTACTATGAGGTATAATAGCTAGCCATACATCAATTACTCCCACTTTCCTTTATTTCCCTTAATCATAAAATTCGTGTAAGAATAGAGTTGGAGAAGACTGGAGAACGTATGTACTGACGCTGTTTCGCGGTTGATGGGACAAGGACAAGCACGGAAGCCATTCTCGCACTTACAAACCACCTTCGTCGACTCTCCTCTTTTTGTATTGCCACCTATCCTCCAACCTCATGCTCTCGACGGCTCCATACTCTGTCCTCGTCGTCAGTGATGTGGATAATGATGAATCGAACGGCTCAGTACATGTAACTGAGGCCGGCCTTGAGCACCGCGCCTCCACAGCTGCGGTGATCACAAAGAAGTTACATCGCAATACCATTATCCGTAATTTTTCCATACACGTTCTTGGGACCGCCGCAATCTCGCTGTGCTCCGAGCCAAGAAGTAAGAGTAGTCGGCCATTTCAGGTATATTTCGGGAGCGTGGGGAGCGTGTGGACTCGTTACTCGTGACGGTTTGGCTTCATGCAACCCATCGTGAATACATCAGGTGAAACCTTCGATTTACCTAGCAGTCACGGCGAGGTTCACGCAGAATGAGCATGTCCCGATCTAGATTATAAGCCTGAAATACCTATATTGATTGAGCAGTGTAAGACAATGATCGATCGTGATTTCTACTTGCTTAACATTTCTTAGAAAACACTGCCCTTTATCCCGTCGATAAGACTCTGGACAATCGTCAGTATACTTGTGTCCAGTGATGCTCCGTTGTTTCATCAGTTGCACTTGCTCAAATCTTGACTTTTATGCCTCGGTGAACAATCTTCACACGCCTCCGCCCTGAAAATTACAGACATTTGTGCCGAGATAGGAGACGTGAAAAGTAGTTTCAACCCTGCAATATGAGGGTATTGATGCTGTACCTGTTGTGCCTGCCGGATTTGGTATTCTTGATGTCTTTGGCACACCTGGTCAAGGAACTGGATGGTCATTCCCAACTCGTCTTGGTTCGGGTAACAGGAGTGGCCATCGATCAAGCAGAATATAAACGCAACTGGCACAGATTGCAAAAGGCCCTTGGCCTCGGAGAAAGTCGTACGATATCAACCCGAGTGGGTTGATCAGTAGTTTAGCAACGGGATCATGTAAACCCAAGAATTGCGACTGGCTTGAGTGCATCCATAGGTCGAACTTTTGGCTGTCGCGGATTTTCCTTTTCGTCCCGAGAAGATTATTCCTCGGACATTATTCCTCCGACAATGACGCTCGAGCATTGAACTGTTTGTCTCCAACACCATCCTTATGAGTCCCGAAGACACGCCAAGCACATCTAGAAAATCTTGACGGCCAACTATGCATTGTGAATACCAGGTGCGATCGCGATGACATTTGACGAGCTCGCTTGACTCTAGTCAAGCCGGGTCACTTCCTTTTCTTCTGCGAAATCTGTACATGTACATTATCCTTCTCCAGACATTGAATGTTGTAATTATCCTCTGCCTCGCGAAAATTCACGATGTTCCATGGCTATGTTTTGGACTGCACCTCGATTTACACTACGTTCTCTAACGGGGATTGGATATTCTTGGTTAAGAAGGCAAAACGTTAGCTACATCAGCTCCGGTTTTATATAACAAAACGCCATGTTCTTGATGCTCCATGTCGGTACCATCAAGGTACTTTGAGTTAGGACAGTCGCTCTCCTGCTTTGAACAGTTCTCCATTCATACTTCCGATTGAGACCGCTGTTTCCTTTGTCATCTTGATCGTCACCACACCGCCAGACTCGAGACTCGGCACAGATTGTCGCAAACTTCCCGGGGTATCTAACCACCCGAGAGTCGAAACATGCAATCGCTCAAAAGTTGTCAGAAAATCTCTTGGGGGTTTTGAATCCCAATACCTGGTAACATTGGGTCATTCGATCGTTGATGTCGTTGAGGACCCCGGTCTTACCATTTCTCTGTGCGTCGTCTGCCGGTACAAGTATTTTGTTTGCTCAAATTGCCATGAGAAGATCAAATGATACTGTCTGGTCGATGGCTTCATCGACTCAGAACCTGGTCCCCAAGCCACCAATAACGATAGAGATATAATCAGCGTTTGCTATGAGGGCGAGCCAAGGGTCGATGACCTCTGTGATGTCGCTGCTGATACCGCCTACCTTGATCATCGTACCATCATCCCTGCCTTGTCGGTCACCCTTTCTTTGTATGCATTGATCCATCTTTCCCACACTCCCAATTTTGAATAGCTCGCATCGAACCAGCGCAGTTCACGTGGTGTAGATTCGTCTCTGCCCAAAGGGCCATTGGCTTGTCAGGACAGATCGGCTTTTCCAGTGCCAGCGACTGTTTTTAATCGTGCCCATCTTTTGCTTGGAGCATTTTGGTCTGCTCGACGATGGTTTCCGATAGAATTAAAGGTTCTAGGCACACCCGCTACTTCACTTGAGAATGACGCGATTGGCCAGAGTCTGGATGTCTGAAGTGTACGTTCAAATGTTGCCATGAGGGTATTATCGTGCTCTACTGCTGCTCGTCAGCGATTGAGCAAGACTGATAATTCACATTATATATGGATACTTTGCCAGTGTATCAGAGGAGACACCCAATATCAGCCTATTACGTGTCGCGAGCAGGCAAAAGGCCCCATAGCCTATTCTAGGCACGTCGTTGGAGCTCCAGTACCGAACGCTCGAACGCGAGATATGCTGTTAACCAGTAGAACAAGGTCCAGACTACAATTGAACTGGAAATCCATGAATTCTAGAGAAAACGAGAATTCTATAGATCATCCATCTCTTCGTCAACATGCAAGACTTTGCTGTCCTGGAACTTGACCTCAACTCGGCCATGCGACTGCCGAAGTAACGAAGTGGAGAATGAGGGGTAGAGCTGCTGTCTCGGACAATAAGAAGAGGGGGCAAATGCACCCCAGAAGCTAGTTAATTCTTCAGAGCTCTGACGAAGAGTCGGCCGCGCGGGACGGCGTTAAAGAAGACAACCTTTCAGCCAATGCTACTTGTCCCAACTTTGGCTTCCCATCTATTTGGGTTTTCACACTGGCTGACGTGAGCGACTCTGACCCCTGACGACTAGCTCTCAGCTCAACCTTGGCCATCTATCGGCAAACAAACAATGTCTGAACGAATTGACCCCTCACTTTGCCCCGCCATGTAAATCCGTTTGCTATAAATCCGGTTGCCCCGCCTTCGACACTAGGTAGATCGGCCACCCACCGGGATATCACGACCTTTTAAAATTCTCACCGTGAGGGGTGTTTTGCAGGATACACAGACGGACAATCGCTTGCTAGTTATCTGTTGACACCAGCAATTCCTACTAAGAATGTCATCCAAGCTTCACCAAGCGCCCCCCTTTAGGGCAGAGCACATGGGCTCTCTCCTTCGCCCTCAGAAGCTCCTCGACATCCGCGAAGGCAAGATCCGCGACCAGGGTCTGTCCGAGGAGGAAGCCGGTCTTCCCGCCGTTGAGAAGGAGTCAGTCGTCGAGGTCGTCAAGCTTCAACGCGATCTAGGCATCAAGGGCGTCACCTCGGGCGAATTCAACCGCACCCGTTTCTGGGGCCTCATGTGGGATGAGTTCGAGGGCTCTACCCGCCTGCAGGATGCCGAGGCCAGCATGTTCCGGTTGTACCACCCCGATGTGGTGAGCCTTATCGAGAAGGATCGCAAGGTCATGCCTGGCGACTCCGTCATCGCCGGCGGAAAGCTGTCTCACTCGCCCTCAAAGTCCAAGTCGAACTTGCACGAGCTGCGTTTGGTGCAGGCTGCCCTGCCGAAGGAGGAGTGGAAGGATATCAAGTTGACCATGATCACGCCGGCTTGGTTCCACATGCGCTACAAGCAGGGCAGAGCATACACCAAGGAGGCGTACGCCAACGATGCCGAGTACTTCAAGGATGTTGCCAGGGTTTACCAGGCCGAGCTCCAGCAGCTTTACGATGCTGGCTTGCGCAACGTTCAGTTTGATGATCCCGGCATGGCTTGTGAGTAAGCCGAGTCTAGCAAAACTACAAGCGCTAATCTCTCGCAGACTTCTGCTCGCAACAGTTCCGCAAGGGCTGGGAGGAAGACAAGGACAACGACGGCACCGTCGAAGACCTCCTCGACGCCTACATTGCTCTGTACAACGACACAGTCAGCAAACTTCCCGAAGACATGCACACCGGTATCCATTTGTGCCGCGGTAACTTCATCGGAGGCCGTCACTTCGCTGAGGGTTCCTACGACATCATTGCCAAGAAGCTCTTCCAGAACCTGAACGTCAACACGTTCTACCTCGAGTACGACACCGAGCGTGCCGGCGGTTTCGAGCCCCTCCAGTTCCTTCCTAAGAACAAGAACGTCGTTGTTGGCATCATTAGCACTAAGGTCCCCAAGCTCGAGGACAAGGAGGAGATGAAGGCCCGTGTTCTCACCGCTGCGGAGTACGTCGCTAAGGGAAGCGGTGAGACCAAGGAGGAGGCGCTCAAGCGTATCTGCGTGTCGCCTCAGTGCGGTTTCAGCACGCATGAGAGCGGATACCCGCTGAG